AGTCAGGCCATTAGATACCACCGAATATGTTCTGACCCAAGAGACCGAAATAAAACATCTCGGGACACTAGCAGACTCCTTCAACCCCACATCTTCTAACATTCTGCTACAACTTTGTGATCAGTACTGCTTAGACCAGGGGTGGGCAAACTTTTTGACTTGAGGGCCGCAATGGGTTCATATATTGGACCCGGGGGCCGGACCAAGAGTAGATGAATGATGTGTATGTGTCATCCATAGTAAGTATAGTAATATTCCCCTATAGCAATTCATCCCCCCTATAGTAATTCATCCCCCATATAGTAATTCATTCCCCATATAGTAATTCATTCCCCATATAGTAATTCATCCCCCATATAGTAATTCATCCCCCCTATAGTAATTCATCCCCCCTATAGTAATTCATCCCCCATATAGTAATTCATCCCCCATATAGTAATTCATCCCCCATATAGTAATTCATCCCCCATATAGTAAATTCATCCCCCATATAGTAATTCATCCCCCATATAGTAATTCATCCCCCATATAGTAATTCATCCCCCATATAGTAATTCATCCCCCATATAGTAATTCATCCCCCATATAGTAATTTCATCTCCCCATAGTAATTTCATCCCCCATAGTAATTCATCCCCCATATAGTAATTCATCCCCCATATAGTAATTACATCCCCCCTATAGTAATTCATTCCCCATATAGTAATTCATTCCCCATATAGTAATTCATCCCCCATATAGTAATTCATCCCCCATATTAAGTCCCCAAGTCCCCCACTGTGTCAATTTACTTACCTTTGCTGCCGCGCGTTCCTCTCGCCGTGTTCCCGCGCCGTTCCGGTCTTCAGGACGGACTGTGAGAGGAGCCTAGCTCCCCTCACGTTCGTCACGCTGCCCCCCGCCTACACACATCCTGACAGCCATCCTGACAGTATCACGCTCCATGGGCCGGATTAAAAGGTCCGCCGGGCTGTAGTTTTGCCCATTGCTGGCTTAGACCTGAAGAAGGTACATTCCCCGAAAGCTTGTCCTCAAAATTGTATGTTAGTGCAAATAAAAAAAGTATCCTGTCAGTACTCAATTGTCTGCACTAATACGGCTACAATCACCTCAAGCAAAAGGGATTATTGATGAATTTATTTTGTGAGGATAATACACTATTGAGTTTTCTTTCATTTTGAGGTACGCAGCACTTAATGGATTTATACGGCGAGTTTTAAAAAAGATCTATGGGCTTTATTTTTGGGTTTTTATGCAATAATTGTATGGACACTAAGAAGGTTTTTTTTATTATGAAAGAATTTAGGATGTCGTGTGTTCCTCCATGTATTCCTGATTTGTTTCCTCTGAACCTGTAAGTGCCGTAAAAGTTTGCAAACATTTTTTCAGTATTGACTGATCCAGCAAACAGTGCAAGTAGCAAAGTGCTAAAGTACAGCGAACCCAAAAACAGCCGGAGTTCCCGCCCGCATACACTTGACCAGGGCAAGACCATTATTATTGGCTTTGTGAGGTTACATGGGATTACCGGCACAATTCTTAGATGCCAAACTTAACCACTTCCCGACCGGGCCGTTGCATATAAACGGCCCGGACGTTGGCAGTGCAGGGTTGGGTGGGTGTTTATGAACGGCCTCCCCCTAGCACCCTGCTTGTGCACGCTCCCTGGGAGCGCGCAGCAGCGCGATCCGTGCCCGCTGTGTCCTCCAGACACAGTGATACACCAATCGTCGGACGGGACCTCTGTACGACGGTCCCGATCATGTGATCACTGATTGGCCAATCAGTGATCACATGCAAAGTAGTAAGCAAGATGTCACTTGTGACATCATTGCTTTCTACGTGTGAAATCTGTGAATGATCACCGAGGTCACATGGTACAGGGCCATTCACAACAGGCTTGTACCATGTGACAAGCTGTGACCAATCACAGCTCACTCAGTACTTCTCAATGAGTGCAAGAATGCAATTGCAGAGAGAAAGAGAAATGATTGCTTTTACATCCTATATGGGTGTAAAAGTAATCCGTATAAAAAAAAAAAGAAAAAAAATCTTCATCACCCCCCACAAGTAGTACAGTGTCACCATGGTGACACCACACTGCTAGGGTGACAGTATGTAAAAAAAAAACATAAATAACAGTATAAATATTAATTTTTTTTTTATAAAATAAAAATGTAAAAAACAAATGTATAAAAATTATAATTTTTGGTTATAAAAAATAATTTTTTTTTTTTTTTTTTTTACTAAAAAGATAATGGAATAAATTTTGGCAAAGATTTATGATGAAATATTATTTTTTTATTTGCAAAATTTTATTAAAAAAAACACTTTTGTTCAAAAATTTTTGGACTTTTTTTGTTTACATAGCAAAAAAAATAAAAATCCCAGCAGTGAATAAATACCACCAAAATAAAGCTTTATCTGTCTCAAAAAAATGGTAAAAAAATTAGTTTGGGTACAGTTTGCATGACCGCGCAATTGTCATTCAAAGTGTGATAGCGCTGAAAGCTGAAAATTGCCCTGGTCAGTAAGGGGGTAAAAGTGTCCGGACTGGAAGGGGGAAAAAGTGTCCGGACTGGAAGGGGGAAAAAGTGTCCGGACTGGAAGGGGGGAAAAAGTGTCCGGACTGGAAGGGGGGGGTAAAAGTGTCCGGACTGGAAGGGGGGGTGGTGAAAGTGTACCCGCGCAGGATGTCCGGACTGGAAGGGGGGGTGAAAGTGCCCGAGTACAGGAAGGGGGGGTCCGGACTGGAAGGGGGGGTGAAAGTGTCCGGACTGGAAGGGGGGGTGGTGAAAGTGTCCGGACTGGAAGGGGGGGTGAAAGTGTCCGGACTGGAAGGGGGGGGGGTGAAAGTGTCCGGACTGGAAGGGGGGGTGAAAGTGTCCGGACTGCAAAGGGGGGGTAAAGTGCAGCGAACTGGAAAACAGGGGGTGAAAGTGTCCGGACTTTGCAGGGGGGGTACACTTGAAGTCGCAAGACCATTGTTATTGGCTTTGGGAGGTTTACATGGGATTCCGGGGGGGTGACAATGTCTTCGGACTGAAGGGGTTAATAAAATGAATGACGAACGTTAAGGGTTCACTCCAGAAACCTGCCTTCCATGCTTGCTTCCCGCACCGCTTTCTAAACACACTGCACTTGCGATCTTAGGCGACAGTCAATGCACGCCAGTTGCAGTTGCAGCATTTGACCGCAGCGGATAGCAGGGTATTTCTGCTTCCAGTCGCAGTGTTTTTTTTAATCGCCTCCCACACGCCATATAAGGAAATGACGGGCGCAAGGCGGTTCTCTCGTTCTGGGAGGACGTCCTATGACATCCTCCCACTATAACCGCACGTGCATGCTCCGGGTGCGCACAGCGCAGCGATTGGTGGTGCGCCATGTCCCTCGGACTCCATGGATCACCGATCAATGAAAAGAGCCGAAGACGTCAGCTCGGTCATGTGATCAGCTGGGTCCAATCACAGCTGATCGCATGTATCTAAGTAAATGCCGGTTTTCAGCATTTCTCTCCTCACGAGCCGTCACGCTGACAGAGAGAGGAGAGCCGGTAATCGGCCTTCCTCAGAGGGGACGTGTACACTGATTTACACAGAGGTTTGCTATTGGGGGGGGGTAGAGCCAGGACCGCTGGCAGGGTTCCCAAAAAAGAGGATTTGGGGCTGCTCTGTGCAAAAACCATTACACAGAGCAGGTAAGTATGACGTTTTTTTTTTTTTTATGTTTTTGTTTTTTTTTTTTTTTAATTACAACCTTTAGAATCACTTTAACTGCAGCAGAGAAGAACCAGGACTTCCGCCCTGCCAAACAATGGTTTATATTGTATGTCAGAGCTGTGTAAATCTCAGGACTGGATGTACAGAAATATCCAATCTTTTGGCAGGTAAATCTGTTCTGATATGTATTCCATATTTTTGTTTTTAGTGGTTTGCCCATTGTTCAGCTTTAAACAATTCTAATGTTTTTTTTTGTTTTCAGTTCACGCTGACTAGTCTGTGTTTGGTCTTCATGTATATCTGTTCATTTCTAGGACCCTGCAGTGAGCTTCTCGTGCAAGCAGGCTCTAATCCGCGTCCTGCGCCCTCGAAATAAACGCCGCCACGTTACTCTCCCTTCCTCTCCACGCAGCAACACCCCCATGGGTAAGGGCAGCTCCTCTAAATGTTTGTCTCCAGCTTATCGCTGCATTCAGTAGGCTTTCTTTAGCATCTGAGAAATGCATTATGGGAATCAGACCTTTCAATGAATGTTGTGGTATTGCTGTGAGATTAGACATTTTTGTCAAGCTGGCTACAAATTGCGCTGTCTAGGTCCAAAAAACAAAAGGGTGCCAGTTACTAAATGTTTATTGTTCAGTCTTTCTAGTTGTTCTCCACATCCCAACAACCTTCTGTACATTTCTGTATGTGTCATTGCTTGTTGTCCCCGCTAGTCTTGTCTGGGCAGCCATGTTGTGCTAGCTGAAGTCCCTGCATCCTCCTGTCTACCTGAAATGACGAGGTGTCCACCCAGACCCCAGTACATCATGGTTTTGATTCTCTCTAGGTTGGAAAGCTTGGTTTCCTTCAGGGGTGGCTGTAATTAGGATGCCTCCGCCATACAAGGACCTCTTTAACCGTGAGCACTTGGGTTTCTCTCACCCTTGGCTAGAAAGGGTCTCCTTTTATTGTGGTGGTCCTGGTGATGTGACATGCAGGCAGCCAGATTGGTTAGTCGGGTGCCGGAGGAACGCGGCTTTTTTGATTGCCTGCCTCTCTCCCCAGGTGACAAGGATGACGACGACGACGATGAAGCCGAGGATAAAATGCAGACGTCTGTCATTCAGAACGGAGATCACATCAGGCAGCCAAGCCAGGAACATAACGAGGTCGACCACGGGGATTTTGAGATGGTGGTGAGAATTGTGTGTACTGGCTGAGCACTGCTAACAATTTTTATCACGGCAGCAAAGACGTCACCATGAAGAAATAACATTGTTTGATTTGTTGTCCTGCCAGTCGGAGTCGATGGTTCTGGAGAGCGCAGACAGCGTGAATAACGGAAACCCTTCGCCGCTGGAGGCTCTGTTGGCGGGAGCGGAAGGCTTCCCACCCATGCTGGACATCCCACCTGATGCCGATGATGAGACTATGGTGGAATTGGCAATTGCTCTCAGTCTGCAACAAGACCAGCAAGGTAGGCCACCCTTCTGGTGCAGGTTCTTGTGATGTATGTTCAGGTAGAGCTAGTGGTAACCTGTCTGCCGCTGGGGGCACCTGTTCCTGCCGCTGGGCACGTCGCAGCCGGGCCCGTCTCAGCCGGGCGCCCTGCCGCCGGGCCCGTCTCAGCCGGGGCGCCTGCCGCCGGGCCCGTCTCAGCCGGGCGCCTGCCGCCGGGCCCGTCTCAGCCGGGCGCCTGCCGCCGGGCCCGTCTCAGCCGGGGCGCCTGCCGCCGGGCCCGTCTCAGCCGGGCGGGCCTGCCGCCGGGGCCGTCTCAGCCATAGCCGCCCCCTGCTGCGTATACGTATGTGCTCCAGCACAGCAGGCCCGCACTGTAGCAAGCTAGCGGGCTGCAAGTGATTGGTGGGAAAACTGAGTGGAAGACCACAGATGTCAATGCAGAATCCTTCAGGAGATGTAACACACATTTAGGTGTCCGGTCTCCTCTACCAGTACCTGTTATGATGGCATGCGCAGCATTGCGAGGGCTCCTTTGCATTCCAGTTAACACCGGGACATCTATGCTGTCGGTATCTGATTATTCCCAACCAGAACTAGAATTCCTTCATTGCATTTGGAAAACTCTCATGCGTGGTTTTTGTACATCTCTGTTCATGGCAGATAACCAATCATTTGTCTCCTAGGAAGCAGCAGCAGTGCTTTGGGGCTCCAGAGTTTGGGACTGTCGGGACAGGCCCCCAGCTCTTCGTCCTTAGATGCCGGAACCTTGTCTGACACCACGGCATCAGGTAACTGAGGAACCCCCCTGATTCTTGGCACTTCTGAAATCTTAACAGCATGGGTAATGAGAAGCGGTGGCTGTGTGTGTGCTGATCAGTGTCAGGGCCAGAAGCTTTCGGCTGGGGTCTGCGGGTCGCTTTGCTTTTAACCCGGTTGCTTTGTTGGGGTGGGGGCGGGGTGTTGTGTTTCGCTGGCTCGGTAGTCAGAGACTGTGTTTTTACCTGTAACAGCTCTCCTCATGCTTCTAGCTCCAGCGTCAGACGATGAAGGAAGCACGGCCGCAACCGATGGTTCCACACTGCGCACCTCCCCAGCAGATCACGGAGGCAGCGTGGGTTCGGAGAGCGGGGGCAGTGCCGTGGACTCGGTGGCTGGTGAGCATAGTGGTACGTGTGTCATGTTCGGGGTTTAGAGAGCAGAGAGAGATCGGCATTACATTTTAAATATACCTCAGTCATTCATGTCAGCAGCAAAGTGTCATTTATGTCTAGCAGTCTAAAAAGGCACTTCCAGACTCCTGTGCAATCCGGGAAAACGTATACTTCGCGCATTTCTTACATTTTTTTTTTTATTAAAATGAAATCCGGCCAAATCTAGCAGACTTCTCAGAGGGCTCTGAGAATGTGAACTGCCTGGGTGTCATGGCCAACCTTCAGTGTTTCACTGACCTGTCTGATGGTTGGCCATGACACCCAGGTAGTTCAAATTCTCTGTGTTTCACACTGACCTGCTGAAGGTTGGCCATGACACCAGGTAGTTCAAATTCTCCGTGTTTCACTGACCTGTCTGAAGGTTGGCCATGACACCCAGGTAGTTCACATTCTCCGTGTTTCACTGACCTGCTGAAGGTTGGCCATGACATCAGGTAGTTCACATTCTCCGTGTTTCACTGACATGTCTGAAGGTTGGCCATGACACCCAGGTAGTTCACATTTTCAGTGTTTCACTGACCTGTCTGAAGGTTGGCCATGACACCCAGGTAGTTCACATTCTCCGTGTTTCACTGACCTGTCTGAAGGTTGGCCATGACACCCAGGTAGTTCACATTTTCAGTGTTTCACTGACCTGCTGAAGGTTGACCATGACACCCAGGTAGTTCACATTCTGTGTTTCACTGACCTGTCTGAAGGTTGGCCATGACACCCAGGTAGTTCACATTCTGTGTTTCACTGACCTGTCTGAAGGTTGGCCATGACACCCAGGTAGTTCACATTCTCCGTGTTTCACTCGCCTGTCTGAAGGTTGGCCATGACATCAGGTAGTTCACATTCTCCGTGTTTCACTGACATGTCTGAAGGTTGCCATGACACCCAGGTAGTTCACATTTTCAGTGTTTCACTGACCTGTCTGAAGGTTGGCCATGACACCAGGTAGTTCACATTCTCCGTGTTTCACTGACCTGCTGAAGGTTGGCCATGACACCCAGGTAGTTCACATTTTCAGTGTTTCACTGACCTGCTGAAGGTTGGCCATGACACCCAGGTAGTTCACATTCTGTGTTTCACTGACCTGTCTGAAGGTTGGCCATGACACCCAGGTAGTTCACATTCTCAGTGTTTCACTGACCTGTCTGAAGGTTGGCCATGACACCCAGGTAGTTCACATTCTCCGTGTTTCACTGACCTGCTGAAGGTTGGCCATGACACCCAGGTAGTTCACATTTTCAGTGTTTCACTGACCTGTCTGAAGGTTGACCATGACACCCAGGTAGTTCACATTCTGTGTTTCACTGACCTGTCTGAAGGTTGGCCATGACACCAGGTAGTTCACATTCTCCGTGTTTCACTGACCTGTCTGAAGGTTGGCCATGACACCCAGGTAGTTCACATTCTCCGTGTTTCACTCGACCTGTCTGAAGGTTGGCCATGACACCCAGGTAGTTCACATTCTCCGTGTTTCACTGACCTGTCTGAAGGTTGGCCATGACATCCCAGGTAGTTCACATTTTCAGTGTTTCACTGACCTGCTGAAGGTTGGCCATGACACCAGGTAGTTCACATTCTCCGTGTTTCACTGACCTGTCTGAAGGTTGGCCATGACACCCAGGTAGTTCACATTCTCCGTGTTTCACTGACCTGTCTGAAGGTTGGCCATGACACCCAGGTAGTTCACATTCTCCGTGTTTCACTGACCTGTCTGAAGGTTGGCCATGACACCCAGGTAGTTCACATTCTCTGTGTTTCACTGACCTGTCTGAAGGTTGGCCATGACACCCAGGTAGTTCACATTTTTCCGTGTTTCACTGACATGTCTGAAGGTTGGCCATGACACCCAGGTAGATCACATTCTCCGTGTTTCACTGACCTGTCTGAAGGTTGGCCATGACACCCAGGTAGATCACATTCTCTCCGTGTTTCACTGACCTGTCTGAAGGTTGGCCATGACACCCAGGTAGTTTGCATTCTCCGTGTTTCACTAACCTGTCTGATGGTTGGCCATGACACCCAGGTAGTTCACATTCTCCGTGTGTTTCACTGACCTGTCTGATGGTTGGCCATGACACCCAGGTAGTTCACATTCTCAGTCTTTCACTGACCTGGAAGAAGCCTACAAATGGGGAATCCTGATTTTAGTCTAGTATGCCGCCTTTCGGCGCTGTGAAGCCTTATTGCAAATTTAAAGGACATTTTAAGCTGCAGCTTAATGTAGCATGAAAGTGTCAGTCCTGGAAGCCATTGTGCCTGCAGTGGTCTCTGGGCTTTCCTGCAATCCTGACACCATAAAATGGGTACACTTTAGGTAGGTAGGTTCACTGTGTTGTCCCTTTTTGTCCACAGTGTCTACATGTTGTTACTGTACAGAGAAGGTCCCTCGGCACAACCATTGCTGAGCATCTTGTCTGCCTTTTTAGTTTCAGGACGGAGCAGTGCCTACGGGGACACCACAGTGGAAGGTCATCCTACAGGGCCCGGCAGCATCAGTTCCAGCACCGGAGCAATCAGCACTACAACTGGACAGCATGAAGGAGAAGGTTCGGAAGGAGAGGGGGAGAAATGAAGGCGATGTTCACACCAGCAACAGGTCTGTAAATTCTTCATACTGTCAGTATATTTAGACTTTCAGAGGCATCTCGATAAAGCAGTCGATGTGACTCTGTAGATTCTGGAGGTGGGATATAAAAGGCGGCCCTTAAAGGAGAAATTCACCTTTTTGATAAAAAAAAATATAACAAATGCACATCACAATCGCACCCCGTTCATACGAACCGATGCGGGGGTATAAACAACACATCGACATCGGTCCGCGAAACACAGTGCGACGTGCAGAATCGGATCGCATAGGTGTGAATACCCATGCAATTCGATTCTATTATGGACCAAAAAAGGGTCCTGGTGCGAATAGAGCCAAACAAAATATACAGCTCCAATTGCACCGCACACAAATCGCATTTGATTTGTACAGAAATGCGGTGCGGTTCCTGTGCGAATCACATGGGATTTACCTCATCGCTGTAGTGTGAACCTAGACTCGCTGTCCTATCACAGGCTGGGGGAGGGACAAGACCTATAAGTGTTAATAATAAACTGCAGCTTAGATAAGTCAGGTCTGGGGGGGGGGGGGGGGGTGTACAGTTCCTTGGTGTACCTCCTATAGCAGAGCTCATCTCCTGATGTTTCCTTTGAGAGGAGGACTCCAATGTGTCTGTAAGCTGACGATCAGTCACTTGTATCTACTCTTACATCCCACTTCTAGACTTCACATGGTCCGTCTCATGCTCCTAGAACGTCTTCTTCAATCCATGCCCAGCCTGCGAACTGTCGGTGGTGTCCGCGCCATCCCCATACATGCAGGTAAGGAGGGGCCATTGGTTGCCCTGTCAGCAGCTTGCCTTGTACAGGGTGCCTTTCCATGTGACTGAGAACACTGTACTGTTTCCCCAGGTGGTTCTGATGTTGACTGCCGATCTGGACGGGGAAGATGAGAAGGATAAAGGGGCGCTGGATAACCTGCTGTCCCAACTCATCGCTGAGCTTGGATTGGACAAAAAGGTAAAAAAAAAAAAAAAAAGCGGTAATGACTGAAATCCAGTTCTTGATTTGCATGAATGCTGGAGTTACATTGCAATCTGTTTATCCCAGGATGTCTCCAGAAAGAACGAGCGCACCCCTCTGAACGAAGTCCATCTCGTGGTCATGAGGCTGCTCAGCGTCTTTATGTCTAGAACAAAATCCGGCTCCAAGTCTTCCATCTGTGAGGTGAGCAAACTTCCATTGTACGGGTGCAGGCTGCTGTAAGGGTATGAAGGGCTGAATTCTCAGTGAATGCTGAGGGGTCTCTGAGGGGCTTTTATTCCCTCACAAGTAACAGGTAAATTGTGCAGTTGAAGGTGACAAAGTTTTGAAGCTGGTAGATGTATTTGTGTATTAACACCTATATGTGTATGTTCCCTCTTCTTTGTGTCCGCAGTCCTCCTCTCTGATATCCAGTGCCACCGCCACTGCATTGCTGAGCTCTGGCGCTGTGGATTACTGCCTCCATGTTCTCAAATCTCTGCTGGATTATTGGAAGAGCCAGCAGAGCGACGAGGAACCTGTGGCCTCCAGTCAGCTCCTGAAACCTCACACCACATCGTCCCCGCCTGACATGAGTCCATTCTTCCTCCGGCAATATGTCAAGGTAAGTGCAAAGAGATTTCAGAGCACCTAATATTATTATTATACAGGATTTATGGCACCAACAGTTTGCTCAGCGCTTTACAATATAACGGGAGACAATACAGTTCAATACAACAGGGTTAGGCGGGCCTGATCCTTGGAGCTTACAATCTAGGAGGCCTATCACAAATAACTGTGTCATCTTTGTTTTCAATTTGTTTTGTTTTTCCATATTGCACTAGAGACAAGGGGAATCGGATATAGTAAAACTATAGGCTATAAAACAAACAAAAAAAAAAACACATGAAGCATCACAATTAAAGGCAACTACTTACCAACTAAACTGAAGCTTTCTTCAATTTATAAATACATGGTGACCATAACATTAAAGCGGAGTTCCACTCACACTGTCAAAAAATAAAAAGTCAGCAGCTACAAAAACTGTAGATGCTGACTTTTGAAAAAAAAAAAACAGCCACTTGCCTGTCCCACAATCCCGTGGTGTCCTCTCCGCAGCCCGTTTCACCAGCCTGTATACATTAGTGTAGCGCTCTAAGAAATGTCATAAAAACCATAAAAAAAAAAAAAAAAAAAAAAAAAAAAAAAAAAAAAAAAAAAAAAAAAAAAAAAAAAAAAAAAAAAAAAATAAATAAAAAAAATATTAAATCAAATGTGACCTGCTGTAATCTCCACAGTGCTCTTATGCCACTAATAGCACTAGAAACGGACAAACCCAACAATATCAGAATATGCAGTATACAGTATATATTAAATGTGACAAGTGCTGAAATCTTCTCAGTGCTCTAGTAATACTGAGTAAAAAATAAAAAGATAAAAAATAAGATAAAAGTGATAGTGTCACTCCAAACGATAAATAAATCAAATAGGTAACAGGTGACAGTGCCACTTCAACTTCATTCAATGTCCAATTTTCCTTATTCGCATTCTTCTATTTAAAGTGTTCTTGATAACCATGCATAGTGTGTATAGGTAGTGCCACACGTGAACCAACACACTCTTATCCACTTTGGCTGAAATGCCTGCTCACCTCCTTCCTGCGACCCCAAGGGGCCCACAAGCCTTTAGGATCACCCTGGATCCTCAGGATTCCTGGTAATGGCACCTTCCTGATATTCCTCCTATCAGGTCTCCTCCACTCCTTCACTGCTATGCCTCCCAGATTCCTCACCACCGGTTGTCTGTAAGCTCTCTCTCACAAAGACAGTGAGTAGAAAAACAGATCCTCCATTGTGTAGTATTTTCCAATCAAATAGGGTTTTTAATAAATAGTAGTAACAGGTGACTTACATTCTGTTTGCACAGTCCCAATGTATTCCTCTCAGGGTAAAACTGCAACCTCTTAGTAATGACTTCCTGATAACCAGGAAAATGGCGTCCCACACCGGAAGTGCGACACTCCGGATACCGGAAGTAGCGTCTATGTTTTGCCTACGCGTTACGTCACGTACCTCGTGACTTCTTCTGGGTATCGCTATGGAGACGCTGCCTCCTTTTATATAGTGCGGTGGAGCCAACTATCCCGCCCTTTAATCCGTTCTAATTGCGGCCGCCGCCATTTTCTTGGAGACTATTTAGCAGAGACATGCCTAGTAATCCTCTGCTAGTACAATAAATCCTCTTGTAAATCATAGGATCGCAAACCAACACATATAAAGGCTATCTACTACAGACTAGCCCCTATATCGCATATCTAATACAACTAACTTTAATAATATTACATAATTAAAAATCCATAAGGAGTATATAATAAAATTATATATATACAAAAATATATATATATAAAGAATTGAAGAGACACCCATTAAACTAAATGGGAGACCCATAATGCACCCTGGTCTCTCTATCCTATACAATGCCCAGCTCTATATTAAAGGGTAACTCCTCTACTAAAAACTAAAAAATCATAAAAAATGCATAAAAACGGTAGAATTAGTAAAGTAAAAAACAACTCTCTCTACATATCCTAGATAAGTGAAATAAGATGTGAGTACATACTGGTGCAAAATATAATAAAACCTTAAAATAACATAAAAAAAATAAATATGCACAGTATACTCCTATCACTACACAACTAATCAAAAGTACATACGGACTACCTGAGTATGCAGTAACCCCATAATTTACAATAAAAAATAAGTAACAGTCATAGCTTAAAAACTCGACAATCTAATTAGTTTAATAATCATTAATAAAGGAATTAAGATCAAACTCTACATTTAGGCCTCTTGGGACTAGCGTTCTCATGTCATGTATCCAGCGTGACTCCGCTTGGCTAAGTTGTTTAATCTTGTTACTGCCTCTCCAGTGCTTTCTATATTTCTCTATACCCCAAAACTGCATTTTGGTGGGGTCCTTATTATGACACTTAGAGAAATGTTTTGAGACATTATGCTTTGGGAATCCCTTTATAATATTTCTAACATGTTCCCCTATCCTCTTCCAAAGCGGTCTTTTAGTCCTCCCAATATATTGGTAACCGCACTCGCACTGTAAGCAGTATACCACTCCCATAGTTTTACACGTGATGAAGTCTTTAATATTGTGTTCCTGTCCAGTAGTATTAACTAAAAACTTTTTCCGTCTACCACTTTTCGTGGTCCTACATCCTACACACTTTTTACATGGGTAAAAAACCTTCTTCATTCAGAAAGGTTACTTTATTCATTTGTGGGGGGTCCAATACACTTTTAACCACTCTGGATTTAATAGTAGAGGCTTTTCGATAGATAAACCTGGGATGTTCTGGTAGTATTGTTGTTAACATAGGGTCCAACTTCAGGATATTCCAATGTTTATTGAATATCGACTCAATTTTTTTTTGTGATGGACATTAAAGTCCATAATAATAGGTATATTATCCTCCTGGGTTGCTTCTCTCTTTTTTTTCTCCCAGGAGTAAATCTCTGTCCATATTACCTACCTCTTTAATTTTTTGTGTTATCATACTTTCTGAGTAACCCTTTTCTATAAATCTAGTTGCCAGTCCTTCTGCTTGTTCCAGGTAATCCTCATATTTTGTACAATTTCTCCTGATTCTTACCATCTGCCCTTTTGGAATATTGTACAGCCAGGGCGGATAATGGCAACTTCCAATTGGAATATATCCATTTCTATCAACGTTTCAGGCGCCGGCATCTTTAGTGTGGGCACCCGGCTGTGACAGCTTGCGGCTTCACAGCCGGGTGCCCACTGCGCTTCCTGAATGGTTCCATAGTCTTTTGGGACCTGTCTTGTGGCCCAGAAGACTACGGGGAGGGAGGACAACTTCTGTTTCCGATCGCCTAGGTAGGAGCGGGTCCCTGTCAAATTCAGGTACCCGCTCCCCAAAGGTGCCAATCCTTAATGGGGAGATTCCTAGATTCTCCTAGATTGTAAGCTCGAAAGAGCAGAGCCCTCGATCCCCTCATGTTTTGCATTGTATTGGTATTGTTCTGTCACATGTTCTGTCCCCCTCTGTAATGTACAGCGCTGAGCGAACTATTGGCGCTTTATAAATACTGTATAATAATAATAATGGGGATCGGGGGACCAGTCTTTAAAGCGGAGCTTCCCCTTTTGGGTGGAGCCCCGCTTTAAACAGGCCCTTTATCCACAGAGAGGGGAGGTGGGGTTGGATGGGGGAGTTCTAGGTGTTGTCACCCTTAAATGAGCATGGCCGCAGTCCAGCAGGTCTAGGGAATACCCCTTTGATTGACCTGGGTCTCCTCAGTGTTTCTTCAGAAGTTATTTGAGTGGGATTTTGTCCGTTTTGCTGTGTTTGGTTGTTCACACCCATATCAAACGAATACCTTTTTAATGTTTATTGTGCTTGTTCCTGGTCTAGGGCCACGCGGCAGACGTTTTCCAGGCCTACACCCCAGCTGCTCACCGAGATGGTTCTCCGTCTGCCTTACCAGATAAAGAAGATTGCGGACACGAACTCCCGAATCCCGCCACCCGTTTTTTTTGACCATTCCTGGTTCTACTTCCTGTCTGAGGTCTGTAAAAATGGCGGGCAGTGTGTGGAGGGTGTGACGGCGGGCGGTGTGTGAGGAGGGTGTGACGGCGGGCGGTGTGTGGGGAGGGTGTGGACGGCGGGCGGTGTGTGGGGAGGGGTGTGACGGCGGGCGGTGTGTTGTGTGGGGAGGGTGTGACGGCGGGCGGGTTTGTGTGTGTGGGGGGGTGTGACGGCGGGCGGTGTGTGTGGAGGGTGTGTGACGGCGGGCGGTGTGTGAAGGGTGTGACGGCGGGCGGTGGGTGTGACGGCGGGCGGTGGGTGTGACGGCGGGCGGGGGTGCGGAGGGTGTGACGGCGGGCGGGGTGCAGAGGGTATTGATGGCGGGCAGGGTGTGGGGTGTGACGGCAGGCAGTGTGTGTGTGTGGGGGGGGGGGTTTTGTCACGGCGGGCAGTGTGTGGAGGGTATGACGGCGGGCAGTGTGGTGGGGGGTATGACATTGGGCAGTGTGTGGAGGGTAGGACATTGGGCAGTCTATCTCCCTCTGTGTAGCATATACACTGTTCTTATTGTGCATGGCTTTCGCTTTCCACAGTATCTAATGATTCAGCAGACCCCGTTTGTTCGCCGCCAAGTTCGGAAGCTCCTCTTGTTTATCTGCGGCTCAAAAGAAAAATATCGCCAGCTGAGAGATCTGCACACCTTGGATTCCCATGTCCGCGGCATCAAGAAGTTATTGGAGGAGCATGGCATCTTCCTGCGAGCCGGGGTGGTGACGGCGAGCTCTGGATCTGCGCTGCAGTACGACACGCTGATCAACCTGGTAAGAGGTGCTCAGGAAACGGTTACGGAAGGTCATTTGGCGCAGACTCTGCGGTATTCATGCAATACTTTTGTTTCAGATGGAACATCTCAAAGCCTGCGCTGAAAATTGCGTCCCAGAGAACCATCAACTGGCAGAAGTTCTGCGTCAAAGATGACTGTAAGTCCCTCAAGCCTTAGGCTTCATCTGGGGTCGGACACAACTCAAACCTGAATGTGAAAACGGGACAGCTGAGATGATATAGACAACTCCATTCTAAATACAGGGTTAACCTCTTCCTGTCCATAGCAGGGACCTGAACTTTCTTGGATTGGAAGGGAGATATCATTCTTTAGGGCCATCGATTCTCATCTTGTAAAAGTAATCCAAGCAGCTGAAGAACCGCTGGATTACTTTTATAGGCGGTGGAAGGGGGTCCTCACCACCCTCACACTGCCGACTTTATCTGACACTCCCATTCGATTGGTGAGCGTAGTAGGGACGCATCCGGCGGCATCCTTTTCCGGGGGAACGGATGCCGTCCCTACCACTGTGTGACGTCAGAAAGCAGAAGCCGCAACTTCCGGGTTTCTTTCTTTACCGGCCATTGCCAGCTTAGAAAAGCCTCTGATCGAAACCGATCCGGTTTTTTTAGCTGCTGACTTTTATTTTTTGACCGGTGTGAGTGGAACTCCGCTTTAATGTGAATTACAAAACCATGAAATCACAGTAAGATCCCATTCCTCCAGGATTCCCTGTAGACACCCGTGAACTGAAGAGTGACACCGTAAACTATGTGCAGATCTACATTGTGTGAATTAATCTTTTTGGTGACTGTCTCTCCCATCAGCCGTCCTGTACTTCCTGCTCCAAGTCAGCTTCTTGGTGGGATGAAGGTGTGTGTCCCCGGTGCTGCTGCAGCTCCTGTCCTGTGCCCTTTGTGGCAGTAAAAGTCCTCTCCGCAGCTTCATCCTCTGCTTCCTCCAGCACTCCATCCTCTGGCCAGCCAGGATCACAGACCAAGTCTTCAACCAAGAAAAGTAAGAAAGAGGAAAAGGAGAAAGAGAAGGAAGGTAGGTCTCATGGAGGCTGAATATGGCTGCATTGGGGTGGGGGATTGATGACATTTGAACCAGACTCAGGAAACTTTCATGTCTTTCAGGCGAGGGTTCGAGCAGCCAGGAGGAGCAGCTGTGCACCGCTCTTGTTAACCAGCTAAATAAATTTGCTGATAAAGAGACATTGATCCAGTTCCTCCGCTGCTTCCTCCTCGAGTCAAACGCTTCCTCTGTGCGCTGGCAGGCTCACTGCTTAGCCCTGCATATATATACAGGTCAGTCAGCGTCATTCTGGTCCAGTTCAGGAATACAGGTTTCTTGTTATATATTGAGTAACTCTTAGGGGAATGCATGTTGGATACATGATGTCCCTGCTTTGTCCTTCACCTAGAGGAACGCATGTTGGATACATGATGTCCCTGCTTTGTCCTTCACCTAGAGGAATGCATGTTGGATACATGATGTCCCTGCTTTGTCCTTCACCTAGAGGAATGCATGTTGGATACATGATGTCCCTGCTTTGTCCTTCACCTAGAGGAATGCATGTTGGATACATGATGTCCCTGCTTTGTCCTTCACCTAGAGGAATGCGCATGTTGGATACATGATGTCCCTGCTTTGTCCTTCACCTAGGGGAATGCATGTTGGATACATGATGTCCCTGCTTTGTCCTTCACCTAGGGGAATGCATGTTGGATACATGATGTCCCTGCTTTGTCCTTCACCTAGAGGAATGCATGTTGGATACATGATGTCCCTGCTTTGTCCTTCACCTAGGGGAATGCATGTTGGATACATGATGTCCCTGCTTTGTCCTTCACCTAGGGGAATGCATGTTGGATACATGATGTCCCTGCTTTGTCCTTCACCTAGGGAATGCATGTTGGATACATGATGTCCCTGCTTTGTCCTTCACCTAGGGGAATGCATGTTGGATACATGATGTCCCTGCTTTGTCCTTCACCTAGGGAATGCATGTTGGATACATGATGTCCCTGCTTTGTCCTTCACCTAGGGGAATGCATGTTGGATACATGATGTCCCTGCTTTGTCCTTCACCTAGGGGAATGCATGTTGGATACATGATGTCCCTGCTTTGTCCTTCACCTAGAGGAATGCATGTTGGATACATGATGTCCCTGCTTTGTCCTTCACCTAGAGGAATGCATGTTGGATACATGATGTCCCTGCTTTGTCCTTCACCTAGAGGAATGCATGTTGGATACATGATGTCCCTGCTTTGTCCTTCACCTAGGGGAATGCATGTTGGATACATGATGTCCCTGCTTTGTCCTTCACCTAGGGGAATGCATGTTGGATACATGAATGCATGTTGGATACATGATGTCCCTGCTTTGTCCTTCACCTAGGGGAATGCATGTTGGATACATGATGTCCCTGCTTTGTCCTTCACCTAGGGGAATGCATGTTGGATACATGATGTCCCTGCTTTGTCCTTCACCTAGGGGAATGCATGTTGGATACATGATGTCCCTGCTTTGTCCTTCACCTAGGGAATGCATGTTGGATACATGATGTCCCTGCTTTGTCCTTCACCTAGGGGAATGCATGTTGGATACATGATGTCCCTGCTTTGTCCTTCACCTAGGGGAATGCATGTTGGATACATGATGTCCCTGCTTTGTCCTTCACTTAGGGGAATGCATGTTGGATACATGATGTCCCTGCTTTGTCCTTCACCTAGAGGAATGCATGTTGGATACATGCATGTTGGATACATGATGTCCCTGCTTTGTCCTTCACCTAGGGGAATGCATGTTGGATACATGATGTCCCTGCTTTGTCCTTCACCTAGGGAATGCATGTTGGATACATGATGTCCCTGCTTTGTCCTTCACCTAGGGGAATGCATGTTGGATACATGATGTCCCTGCTTTGTCCTTCACCTAGAGGAATGCATGTTGGATACATGATGTCCCTGCTTTGTCCTTCACCTAGAGGAATGCATGTTGGATACATGATGTCCCTGCTTTGTCCTTCACCTAGGGGAATGCATGTTGGATACATGATGTCCCTGCTTTGTCCTTCACCTAGGGGAATGCATGTTGGATACATGATGTCCCTGCTTTGTCCTTCACCTAGGGGAATGCATGTTGGATACATGATGTCCCTGCTTTGTCCTTCACCTAGGGGGAATGCATGTTGGATACACATGATGTCCCTGCTTTGTCCTTCACCTAGGGGAATGCATGTTGGATACATGATGTCCCTGCTTTGTCCTTCACCTAGGGAATGCATGTTGGATACATGATGTCCACTGCATGTTGTCCTTTTGTCCTTCACCTAGGGGAATGCATGTTGGATACATGATGTCCCTGCTTTGTCCTTCACCTAGGGGAATGCATGTTGGATACATGATGTCCCTGCTTTGTCCTTCACCTAGGGGAATGCATGTTGGATACATGATGTCCCTGCTTTGTCCTTCACCTAGGGAATGCATGTTGGATACATGATGTCCCTGCTTTGTCCTTCACCTAGGGGAATGCATGTTGGATACATGATGTCCCTGCTTTGTCCTTCACCTAGGGGAATGCATGTTGGATACATGATGTCCCTGCTTTGTCCTTCACCTAGGGAATGCATGTTGGATACATGATGTCCCTGCTTTGTCCTTCACCTAGGGGAATGCATGTTGGATACATGATGATGTCCCTGCTTTGTCCCTTCACCTAGGGGAATGCATGTTGGATACATGATGTCCCTGCTTTGTCCCTGCACCTAGGGGAATGCATGTTGGATACATGATGTCCCTGCTTTGTCCTTCACCTAGGGGAATGCATGTTGGATACATGATGTCCCTGCTTTGTCCTTCACCTAGGGGAATGCATGTTGGATACATGATGTCCCTGCTTTTGTCCTTCACCTAGGGGAATGCATGTTGGATACATGATGTCCCTGCTTTGTCCTTCACCTAGAGGGAATGCATGTTGGATACATGATGTCCCTGCTTTGTCCTTCACCTAGGGGAATGCATGTTGGATACATGATGTCCCTGCTTTGTCCTTCACCTAGAGGAATGCATGTTGGATACATGATGTCCCTGCTTTGTCCTTCACCTAGGGGAATGCATGTTGGATACATGATGTCCCTGCTTTGTCCTTCACCTAGAGGAACGCATGTTGGATACATGATGTCCCTGCTTTGTCCTTCACCTAGAGGAACGCATGTTGGATACATGATGTCCCTGCTTTGTCCTTCACCTAGGGGAATGCATGTTGGATACATGATGTTTCTGCTTTGTCCTTCAGCTATATAAAGTGAAGTACCTTTTACTGTGTTTGTTTTTTTCCCCTAGAAATTCCAACAAGGCCCAACAGGAGCTTCTCCTGGACCTGATGTGGTCCATTTGGCCGGAGCTTCCAGCCTACGGACGCAAAGCTGCCCAGTTTGTGGATCTCCTTGGATATTTCTCACTAAAGACACCTCAGACGGAGAAGAAGGTAACGACTTTTACTAGGAGCCGTCTGTGAGTATCTCTGTCATTCAATGTACAGACTGGAGACAATTTCTTTTTTTTCATGCAGTTTAAGGAATATTCTCAAAAGGCTGTTGAGATTCTCCGAACCCAAAACCACATCCTGACCAACCACCCCAACTCCAATATATACAAGTAAGCAAAGCTTGGCTCTCTGAAGCTGCACAGAAGGGGTTTGTGATAGTAGTTGTTGTCTTTTTGTGTGCGTTTGGCAATTCATTGGTCCCCTTTACCTTTTAGCACCCTCTCTGGCTTGGTGGAGTTTGATGGCTATTATCTGGAAAGTGACCCTTGTCTTGTTTGTAACAATCCCGAGGTTCCGTTTTGTGTAAGTATAATATGTACTGTTGCTAACCTACTCCCTTTTTTTTTTTTTTTTTTTTTTTTTTTTTTTAAACGTTTGTATTAGAAAAGACAGCCAATCAGGTGCAAGATTTTTTCTTTGCAGGATGCCTAATGAACCAGTAATTGGGGTATGATGAAAACAGGTTACGTGTCAGATGCAGACACGACGTATTTCAGATGGTTATAATTGTAGCACTTTGTGGGAAATTTCTATCAAACTCAACTGTCAAATGGCTAAATACACAGATAAAATACATAAATGGGGAACCAAAGGGTTTGCATTTGTCCATCCATTTCTGAGATATACACAGCTTTGCCAGGTATATGACGCCCCTTAAATCCAAAAACAAACGAAACCAGCGCTCAAATCTTCATGCAGACTAAACTGTATTCAGAATGCCAAATGGTGAGGTGCAGCCCCTTCTGAGACCGGGAAATCTGGGTACTGGTGGACAAAAGCAGACAACGCACTCTCCTCGTGCATTACCATGGTACACTACGTATTTATTAAGAAAACAAACAGATGTATACTCATAAACCCAAAAGCGACTAAAAACAGAACAGGTGGTCCATGACAACAGACAATATAAAACCGCACCCTGCATTGTGATAAGCTGACGCGTTTCAGGAGACGAAAAGGGGTTTCATCTCCCGAAACGCGTCAGTTCCCAATGAAGGGTGCAGTTTTATATTGGTCTGTTGTCGTGGACCACCTGTTCTGTTTTTAGTCGCTTTTGGGTTTGTGAGTATACATCTATTTGTTAATAAATACGTGGTGTATCACGGTAATGCACGATGAGAGTGCGCCCTTGTCTGCTTTTGTCCACCATATGACATCCCCAGGGACGGACTGACAACTCACTCATAGGGGCCCCTGTGTCCTTGCCCAAACTCAAAAAAGCCTATTAAAAAGGTACCAGGGGCATCTCATGGGGCCCCCTACTGACCCCGGGCCCTCGGGCAGTGCCCAAGTTTCCAAATGGTCAGTCCGCCCCTGGACACCCCTTACTGATTAGGAATATTGAAGTCCTTTTTCCACCTGTAACCTTCCTTCTGCTCTCCCATTAGTTCCTTGTCGGCACATTTTTCATTCAACACACCCGATTCGTGCACCCAACCCTCTCCCAGTCCGAGTGCTGCTGGGAACAGCAATACCAAGTCAAATTCACGTACTTCACCATGACATGTATTTTTGTTAATGCAAGCAGTGTAATGAACACTACATTAATCTGTGGCTTATATCTGCTTTAAATTTGTAGCTTTTGGCTTCAGGGATCAGTCCAGCTAAATACGTATAGATACTAGGGGGCCCCTTGTGGCAGCCACACCAAGGTCCCAGTTGATGTATAGAAAGCTGATCGACGTGGGAATATATCCTGTCTGCATCACTCCAGAGCTGACATGCCTGGCGTGTGCTGACCTTTTGAATGCCCGGGGAAACTAAGTAAACGTCTGTTTTTTTGTTTTTCATCTGAATAGAACATCAAGCTGTCATCCATTAAAGTGGACACCCGCTACACCACCACACAGCAAGTGGTCAAACTCATCGGCAGCCACACTATCAGCAAAGTGACCGTGAAGATCGGAGACTTAAAACGCACTAAGATGGTCCGAACCATCAACTTGTATTACAACAACCGGACTGTCCAAGCTATTGTGGAGCTCAAGAACAAGTGAGACTTCTAAAAGCATGTGTTGTGTGATGAGAGGGGACTCTGCGGTGTCGTGTTAAAAGGGCAGTATGACTGTGTAAGCTCCAACAGGGGGGGCGACTGTCGAAAAGACCCTTCTTGTACAGAATGAGAGCAGAGGGTAAAGGGGTGTATAGAGTGGAGCATTCTGGTATGAGCGAGGGGGGTGGAGCAGGGGCCTCTGGTGTGTTATTGAGGGTGGAGCAGGGGCCTCTAGCATGAGGGATGGAGTGTAGGGTCTCCTGGAACGAATAGGGCGTGGGGATTGGGCCTTTGGAGCAAGTTCTGATTGGAGCCTGAGCCTCCCAGCTTATGTCTCATGATTTCAAAAAAGGATTCACTTAGTAAATGTGTCCCGTCTTCCTTCCCCCTGGCAGGCCCGCTCGCTGGCACAAAGCTAAGAAGGTTCAGCTGACTCCCGGACAGACAGAGGTGAAGATTGACCTTCCACTCCCCATTGTTGCCTCCAACTTGATGATCGAATTTGCGGATTTCTACGAGAACTACCAGGCATCCTCAGAGACTCTGCAGTGCCCACGCTGTAGTGCTTCAGTGCCAGCCAATCCCGGTGTGTGTGGAAATTGTGGCGAGAATGTGTACCAATGCCACAAGTGCAGGTCAGTGCCCAGCCTGCCGCCTTGTAACGCTTCCTACATCTTCTGCTGCTCTTCATACAACTGTTTGTAATTTCTCTCCTTTTCTAGATCCATTAATTATGATGAAAAAGATCCGTTTTTGTGCAACGCTTGCGGCTTCTGCAAGTACGCCCGTTTTGACTTCATGTTGTACGCCCGGCCTTGCTGTGCTGTAGATCCCATTGAGAATGAAGAGGATCGGAAGAAGGTCAGTCCTTGGCTTACTTGCCCATGAATTGCAGATAGATGCTACTGTTAAAGCGGAGCTCCACCCAAGGATTGGCACCTTTTGGGGAACGGGGGGAGCGGGTACCCAATTTTGACAGATACCCGCTCCCACTTCTGCTGTGATCACCAGTGAACGTTCTCTACCGCACCCTCCCATCCTTCTCGGACACGTGACAGGTCCCAGAGGACTATGGGACCGTTCACAATGCGCAGCTCCGCTGCCACCCGTTTCTGAAGCCACAAGCTTCGGGTGCCCGCAATTAAAGCGGAGTTCCACTCGCCCTGTCAAAAAATAAGTCGGCAGCTTTAAAAACTGTAGCTGCTGACTTTAAAAAAAAAAAAAAAAAAAAACAGCCACTTGGCTGTCCCTCGGTGCTGCAGTGTGTCCCCCGCAGCCTGTTTCACCGGCCGTCCTGTATTCCATTAGGCCGGCATCTTCAGTGTGGGCACCCGGCTGTGCAACTTGCGGCTTCACAGCTGGGTACCCACTGTGCATGCGCGAGTAGCATTGCGCTTCCTGAATGGTCCTGTAGTCTTCTGGGACCTGTTACGTGTCCCAAAACACTACAGACAGGGAGTAAGAGGACACCTGCTTCCTAGCCTAGGTGATCGGACTGGAAGTGGGAGCGGGTGCCTGTCAAATTTGGGTATCAGCCCCCCAAAGATGGCAATCCTTAATGGAGTGCAGGGGAGCAGCCCTTAAAGCGGAACATCCCCTTTTGGGTAGAGCTCCGCTTTAAGATGCTGGCACTGGGGATCCAGGACGGCCAGTGAACCTGGCTATGGTGAGGATACTGCTGGATCGTTGGACAGGTGAGTGGCTGGTTTTTATAAGTCAACAGCTACAGTCTTTGTAGCTGCTGACCTTTTATTTTTTTCTGGAGTTCCGCTTTAAGCTGTGTCCATCAGTGAACAATAGAGAAGGTCAGTCCTTGGCTCACTTGCCCATGACTTAAAGATAGATGCTACTGTGTGACCAACAGGGCAGAGGAGATAGGAAAATAGTCTCCTTCTTATTGACCAGCAGAGATCACAGTAGTAGGCAATGATGTCATGTTTGGCAGCCATTGTTTACTGCTAGACTGATTTCTGATTGGTCACAGCGACCCTTTACACCAATGCCGAGAGAGGGTTTGAAAATCTACAGCAGGATTTTTCTTATTGGCTGCTACATTTAATGCTTACTCCAGGCAGCAGTTAAATACACCAATTTAATACTTACGGGGCAGTTTTACAATATTTGTATTTTCATTGAACCAGTTCTGAGCTTTGTCCAGCTCTGCTACAATGTACAGCCAGGCAAATAATACCACTTTCTCTATTTAGTTCTAGACCAGCAATGGGCAAACTACGGCCCGCGGGCCGTATACGGCCCGGCGGACCTTTTAATCCGGCCCGTGGAGCGTGATACTGTCAGGAGACCGGTGTAGCATGAAAATCTGTCTCCTATGAGGATCTGTCCCCCTCCACGTATCTGCGCATGTTTCGGAGATCGCCGATCGGCTGCTAATGCCTGAAACTGGCACATGCGCAGATACGTCGAGGGGGACAGATCCTCATAGGAGACAGATTTTCATGCTACACCGGAACGGCGCGGGAACACGGCGAGAGGAACGCGCGGAGCAAAGGTAAGTTGAATTGACACAGGGGGGACTTGGGGACTTAATATGGGGGATGAATTACTATATGGGGGATGATGAATTACTATAGGGGGATGAATTACTATATGGGGGATGAATTACTATATGGGGATTTACTGAATTTACTATATGGGGGATGAATTACTATAGGGGGATGAATTACTATATGGGGGATGAATTACTATATGGGGGATGAATTACTATATGGGGGATGAATTACTATGGGGGATGAATTAATATGGGGGATGAATTACTATAGGGGGGATGAATTACTATATGGGGGATGAATGAATTACTATATATAATTACTATGGGGATGAATTACTATATGGGGGATGAATTACTATATGGGGGGGATGAATTACTATAGGGGGATGAATTACTATAGGGGGGATGAATACTATATGGGGGATGATGAATTACTATATGGGGGATGAATTACTATATGGGGGATGAATTACTATATGGGGGGATGAATTACTATATGGGGGATGAATTACTATATGGGGGGATGAATTACTATAGGGGGATGAATTACTATATGGGGGGATGAATTACTATAGGATGGGGGATGAATTACTATATTACTATATGGGGGATGAATTACTATATGGGGGATGAATTACTATATGGGGGATGAATTACTATATGGGGGGATGAATTGAATTACTATATGGGGGGATGAATTACTATAGGGGGATGAATTACTATATGGGGGATGAATTACTATAGGGGGGATGAATTACTATAGGGGGATGAATTACTATAGGGGGATGAATTACTATATGGGGGATGAATTACTATATGGGGGATGAATTACTATATGGGGGATGAATTACTATATGGGGGATGAATTACTATGGGGGATGATTACTATGGGGGAATTTACTATATGGGGGATGAATTACTATGCTTACTATGGGGGAATATATAATTACTATACTTACTATGGATGAACATACACATCATTCATCTACTCTTGGATCCGGCCCCCGGGTCCAATATATGAACCCATTGGAACCCATTGCGGCCCTCAAGTCAAAAAGTTTGCCCACCCTTGTTCTAGACTGTAGAAGGGACACTGTCCTCTCCCCACCCCCACCTAGCTGATTGGACTGTGATGGAGCAGCAACAGACTGATGAGGGTCACCCTTCTGCTGTTTTTCCAATCCGTATGTTGCTGGCTATACTATAACATACAGCACACCCCAGTCATGCCCCTCCCTTTTGTCAGAAGTAAAATTTAAAAAAGAAAAAAAAAAATTGGTCGTGCCGTGCGAACAGCTGCCAGTTAAGCGACCAGGAGCGGTTAGTGACCGCATGTTCACCGTGACGGACGTGAGCTATTGCGCACTCGACGTAGGATTTATACAAGGCATGAAGCCGCGACGGTGCAGGAAAAGGTCCCATTCTGTGCTGCCATATATGTTTACAGCCGTAGAAAGGGGTTAACGTGAACAATCTTTTTGCCTGTTAGGCCGTGACGAACATTAACACTTTGCTGGACAAAGCTGACCGCGTCTATCATCAGCTGATGGGCCACCGACCGCAGCTGGAGAATCTTCTGTGTAAAGTCAATGAAGCGGCTCCTGAGAAGCCCCAGGTAGGCTTTCTTCTGACTGAGCATGTGTGTGGCACTGTGCTGGCTTTCCAGAGCACTTGTCCTGATTGCGCTCTCTCTCAGGATGATTCAGCCAACGCCGGAGGGATTAGCTCCACCTCCGCCAGCGTCAATCGTTATATACTGCAGCTGGCACAGGAGTACTGTGGGGACTGCAAAAACTCCTTTGATGAGCTTTCCAAGATCATACAGGTAATACGGGAGCGGGCGAGCGCTGAGATTCCATGAACTGAGAAGTCCTAATTTATCCAAAAACAAGCTATTCTGCCCCAATCTGATGCCTGTGTTTTGCTTCTCAGAAAGTCTTTGCCTCTCGGAAGGAGCTTTTGGAATATGATTTGCAGCAGAGAGAAGCCGCTACCAGGTCCTCTCGCACCTCCGTGCAGCCCACGTTCACCGCCAGCCAATACAGAGCCTTGTCTGTTCTCAGCTGCGGTCACACCTCCTCCACCAAGTGTTATGGCTGTGCGTCCGCCGTGACAGAGCACTGCATCACTCTGCTCCGCGCCTTGGCCACCAACAGCACCATACGCCACATCCTGGTGTCACAGGGCCTCATTCGGGAACTGTTCGATTACAATCTCCGCCGCGGCCCGGCAGCCATGCGAGATGAGGTGCGCCAAGTCATGTGCCTCCTTACCAGGTAGGATCGTGTACCCCCAGGTCTCAGATATGATGATGTCATGATGATTTAAGCCAGTGGTCTCCAAACTGTGGCTCGAGGGCCAGATGCTGCCCTTTCCTAGCCTTTATCTGGCCCTAGGGGCATTATTTCTCCCAGTGACACCAGCAGTATTGCATAATTCCTGCCAGTGACACCAATGATGGAGCACAATTCTTTTAACTAGTATCAATGCAGGGGCACTATTCCTCCCATTGATGGGCACTGTTCCTCCCACTGACACCAGCAGTATGGCATAAATTCCTGCCAGCGACACCAATGATTGGGGCACTATTCCTCCCACTGACACCAGCAGTATGGCAGAATTCCTGCAAGTGACACCAATGATGGAGCACAATTCCTAACTGAGTATCAATGCTGGGGCACTATTCCTCCCACTGACATCAATGAAGGGCACTATTCCTCCCCCACTGACATCAATGAAGGGGCACTATTCCTCCCACCAATGATGGGGCACACCAATGTATGCTGGGGCACTATTCCTCCCACTGACACCAATGATGGGGCACTATTCCTCCCACTGACACCAATGATGGGGCACTATTCCTCCCACTGACACCAATGCTGGGGCACTATTCCTCCCACTGACACCAATGCTGGGGCACTATTCCTCCCACTGACACCAATGCTGGGGCACTATTCCTCCCACTGACACCAATGCTGGGGCACTATTCCTCCCACTGACACCAATGCTGGGGCACTATTCCTCCCACTGACACCAATGCTGGGGCACTATTCCTCCCACTGACACCAATGCTGGGGCACTATTCCTCCCACTGACACCAATGATGGGGCACTATTCCTCCCACTGACACCAATGATGGGGCACTATTCCTCCCACTGACACCAATGATGGGGCACTATTCCTCCCACTGACACCAATGATGGGGCACTATTCCTCCCACTGACACCAATGATGAGGCACTATTCCTCCCACTGACACCAATGATGGGGCACTATTCCTCCCACTGACACCAATGATGGGGCACTATTCCTCCCACTGACACCAATGATGGGGCACTATTCCTCCCACTGACACCAATGATGGGGCACTATTCCTCCCACTGACACCAATGATGGGGCACTATTCCCCCCACTGATACCAATGCTGGGGCACTATTCCTCCCACTGACACCAATGATGGGGCACTATTCCTCCCGCTGACACCAATGATGGAGCACAATTCTAACTAGTATCAATGCTGGGGCACTATTCTCCCACTGACACCAATGAAGGGGCACTATTCCTCCCACTGACATCAATGAAGGGGCACTATTCCTCCCCCACTGACACCAATGAAGGGGCACTATTCCTCCCACTGACACCAATGATGGGGCACTATTCCTCCCACTGACACCAATGATGGGGCACTATTCCTCCCACTGACACCAATGATGGGGCACTATTCCTCCCACTGACACCAATGCTGGGGCACTATTCCTCCCACTGACACCAATGATGGGGCACTATTCCTCCCACTGACACCAATGCTGGGGCACTATTCCTCCCACTGACACCAATGATGGGCACTATTCCTCCCACTGATGCCAATAACGGGGAACTACTCCTCCGCTTACTGACCACCAGCCCTGAGGCATGGTTTATTCTGACAATGGCCCAGGACGTTTTCTATCCTCACTGGTCACAATCTGGCCCCTCTAAAGTCTAAAGTAAACTGGCCCTTTGAACAGTTTGGAGACCCCTGATTTTAAGCCATTGCCTTACTCTTGTACTTCACCTTAAAGGGACAATCCAGAAGCCACTCAGCAAATGAACGATTTGATCATCGGGAAAGTGTCGACGGCACTCAAAGGACACTGGGCCAATCCAGACTTGGTAAGAATTGACGTTTCCTATCTGGAATTTCATGGTCCGTGTGTTAGTGTTGGTGCTGCACTCTACTGTTACCCAACTGAGGAGTGTTGGCAGACGAATACTTATAAAGAACTGAATTGATTCGGATACTTTGTATACACGTGACTTTGTTTTCATTCATCCGAATTCTTGTGTTCCAGGCCAGCAGTCTGCAGTATGAGATGCTGCTGCTCACAGACTCCATCTCCAAGGAAGACGGCTGCTGGGAGCTGCGCCTCCGCTGTGGTGAGTTGTACCCCCCGGCACAATGATAAAGGGGGACCCTCTGTGCCGGGAAATATTTATGTAACTTTGGGAGTATTGCTCATCTAGTACATGAAACAAACCCCCTGCGAATGGCACCACATTGAATGCAGTGCTGCTATTTAGTTGATTGAATCGGTGAATCCCGGGGTGAATCCTGGGGTGAATCCTGGGGTGAATCCTGGGGTGAATCCTGTGCTTTTCCAATACAAGGCATAGCAATGCGTTTATTTGCCTATTCATAATAAATATCTGTTATACAAAGGTATCTGAGCCTCGTCTTCCTCCATTGCAGCTCTCAGTCTCTTCCTGATGGCCGTGAACATTAAGACTCCAGTTGTGGTGGAGAATATCACTTTAATGTGTCTCCGAATCCTGCAAAAGCTCATTAAACCACCAACACCGACGAGCAAGAAGAATAAGGTAAGATCCCGTATCCAAGATGTCTGCCTGTATCCCTTATATACAGACCATTGTGCATCCATCCCTTACAGAGACCATGTGACCTACTCGGGGCAAAGTGATCGTGCATCCTGATAGCTCACACCCTCCCCTCACATTGCCTGCTCGCCCATCTGTGCTCCCCGATAGCTCACCCCCTCCCCTCACATTGCCTGCTCGCCCATCTGTGCTCCCCGATAGCTCACACCCCCTTCCCTCACATTGCCGCTCGCCCATCTGTGCTCCCCGAAAGCTCACACCCTCCCCTCACATTGCCGCTCGCCCATCTGTGCTCCCCGATAGCTCACCCCCTCCCCTCACATTGCCGCTCGCCCATCTGTGCTCCCCGATAGCTCACACCCTCCCCTCACATTGTCGCTCATCTGTGCTCCCCGATAGCTCACGCCCTCCCCTCACATTGCCGCTCATCTGTGCTCCCCGAAAGCTCACCCCCTCCCCTCACATTGCCGCTCATCTGTGCTCCCCCGAAAGCTCACCCCCTCCCCTCACATTGCCGCTCATCTGTGCTCCCCGATAGCTCACCCCCTCCCCTTACATTGCCCACTTGCCCATCTGTGCTCCCCGATAGCTCACACCCTCCCCTCACTTGCCTGCTTGCACCTATCTGTGCTCCCCGATAGCTCACACCCTCCCCTTACATTGCCCGCTCCCATCTGTGCTCCCCGATAGCTCACGCCCTCCTCCCTCCCCTTACATTGTCGCTCATCTGTGCTCCCCGATAGCTCACACCCTCCCTTACATTGTCGCTCATCTGTGCTCCCCGATAGCTCACCCCCTCCCCTCACATTGCCCGCTCGCCCATCTGTGCTCCCTGATGCTCACCCCCTCCCCTCACATTGCCCTCACCCCTTACTTCGCCATTGCTCACCTATCTGTGCTCCCCGATAGCTCACCCCCTCCCCTCACATTGCCCGCTCACCCCCTCTGTGCTCCCCGATAGCTCACACCCTCCCTTCACATTGCCCGCTCACCCCCTCCCCTCCATCTGTTCTCCCCCGATAGCTCACACCCTCCCTCACATTGCCCGCTCACCCATCTGTGCTCCCCGATAGCTCACACCCTCACTTCACATTGCCCGCCTCCCCCACTGTGCCCCCGATAGCTCACATTGCCCCCCCCCCCTTCACATTGCCCGCTCACCCCATCCCCCACATGATGCCCGCTCACCCCCTCCCCTCACATTGCCCGCTCACGCCCTCCCCTCACATTGCCCGCTCACCCATCTGTGCTCACCTGCCCGGCTCACCCCCTCCCCTCACATTGCCCGCTCACCCCCCTCCCCTCACATTGCCCGCTCACGCCCTCCCCTCACATTGCCCGCTCACCCCCTCCCCTCACATTGCCCGCTCACCCCCTCCCCTCACATTGCCCGCTCACCCCCTCCCCTCACATTGCCCGCTCACCCCCTTCCCCTCACATTGCCCGCTCACCCCCTCCCCTCACATTGCCGCTCACGCCCTCCCTCACATTGCCCGCTCACCCCCTCCCCTCACATTGCCGCTCGCCCATCTGTGCTCCCTCACCACCTCTGTGCTATATTAGAATAACAGAACTTGGCTTCCGGGTGTGGGGGAGCGTGTGGCACCTCCTCTTCCCCCAAACTTCAGCCACCCTTCCTTTCCAAGTGACCATGCTCAGGCTGATTGCTGGACCCAACTTTTACCGTAGAGGAATGCAGTCTTCGTCCACCAGGATCAGCTCTACCACGTCTGCTCTGTCAGGGTGGAGCTTACAGTGAGGGTGCATGGATGGTAAGTATACTTAGCTGGCGGGTGGGCTTTCAGGTGACGTGTTCCTTTAAGTACGTACAACCCTTCTACCTATATCCCTTATATACAGGCTGTTCACTGAATGTCATTTGTTTTATCTCTACCCATCCTTGGAATTTTGATTGGTCTCACCAAAGACCGGCTGGATGCAGTTTATTACTTTGTAACCCCACCAGAAAATAAACTCAGAATTTGACTGGATTCTCAGTTAATTCAACAGTTTTCCTATCCAGTATAAAGGAGGATAAAGAAAAATCCCCAAACAACTTGCTAGACCTCCTCCTCAATAAATCACGCACCCCTCAGCTGTTTTCTGTAGCTTAGCATTCGAATCTCCTCTATTCATTTTAAAAGTATTACCTTTGTTCAGTTCATCACATTTGTACAGATGTCACGTCTTCTATTCTCCATTTTATTGTTTTTGGTTTTTTTTACCCCCAACTTCCCATTTCCCCCCCCTTTTTACTCTGATTCTGTTTCCCATTGCAGGATGTTCCGATTGAATCTCTGACCACAGTGAAGCCGTACAGCAATGAGATCCATGCTCAGGCACAGCTCTGGCTCAAGAGAGATCCCAAAGCATCGTATGAGGCCTGGAAGAAGTGTCTACCCGCCAGAGGTATCGCTACCTGTCTTTATTTTTGTGGCTCTTCCCCCCACCCCCCTCCCAATTGTTGCCAGGTCCGCACAAAAGATCATTCTATAGCAGCCAAGGGTCTCTTTTACAATCGTCTGAACGGATTTGGTTCCTGTAGATGATGTGTGTTGGGCAATACTGATCAGGTCCTGTCGCATGTTTGTGGATAAATACCCAATTACTGATGTTTTCATGTAAGGTATAACATGGTAAAGGAGGAGTATGGCCAAAGCTTGGTTGACCGTACTTCTCCTCTGGGTCACAGGAGTGCACTTAGTTCTGCAGATTCAGCCAAGCCTTCTGTCGGGCTGACATCACAGAGCCGCCCCAAGCCCCGCAGGGGTCCTGACATCACAGAGCCGCCCCAAGCCCCGCAGGGGTCCTGACGTCACAGAGCGCACAGAGCCGCCCCAAGCCCCGCAGGGGTCCTGACGTCACAGAGCCGCCCCAAGCCCCGCAGGGGGGAGTGGGCCTGACGTCACAGAGCCGCCCCCCCAAGCCCCGCAGGGGTCCTGACGTCACAGAGCCGCCCCAAGCCCCGCAGGGGTCCTGACGTCACAGAGCCGCCCCAAGCCCCGCAGGGGTCCTGACGTCACAGAGCCGCCCCAAGCCCCGCAGGGGTCCTGACGTCACAGAGCCGCCCCAAGCCCCGCAGGGGTCCTGACGTCACAGAGCCGCCCCAAGCCCCGCAGGGGTCCTGACGTCACAGAGCCGCCCCAAGCCCCGCAGGGGTCCTGACGTCACAGAGCCGCCCCAAGCCCCGCAGGGGTCCTGACGTCACAGAGCCGCCCCAAGCCCCGCAGGGGTCCTGACGTCACAGAGCCGCCCCAAGCCCCGCAGGGGTCCTGACGTCACAGAGCCGCCCCAAGCCCTGCAGGGGTCCTGACGTCACAGAGCCGCCCCAAGCCCCGCAGGGGTCCTGACGTCACAGAGCCGCCCCAAGCCCCGCAGGGGTCCTGACGTCACAGAGCCGCCCCAAAGCCCCGCAGGGGTCCTGACGTCACAGAGCCGCCCCAAGCCCCGCAGGGGTCCTGACGTCACAGAGCCGCCCCAAGCCCCGCAGGGGTCCTGACGTCACAGAGCCGCCTTAAAGCCCCGCAGGGGTCCTGACGTCACAGAGCCGCCCCAAGCCCCCGCAGGGGTCCTGACGTCACAGAGCCGCCCCAAGCCCCGCAGGGGTCCTGACGTCACAGAGCCGCCCCAAGCCCCGCAGGGGTCCTGACAATAATGACTTCATGGGGGTCTCACTGAACATGGTACTTATGTTGATTCCTTGTTCAGTGAGGAGGCGAAGGGCTGAGAGGTGACACTACTGGATCAGGTTTATGAATGGCCATCTGTCAATGTGCAGTGTTGAAGATGTGCGCAAATCAAAAGACTGGCTGCACAGAATTACAAATCCCTTGAAAGGTAATTTAAATTTTTATGTAAAAGTTCCTGTATTAAGAAATTAAAAGTCAGCTGCTACAAAAATTGTAGATGCTGACTTAAAAAAAATGAACTTCATCTCAGATCTCCGCGGTAATGTACCCCGAAGTGGGGGAGGCCGGTACCTGTAAATAAATGGGTACCCACTCCCCCCCCCCCCCCAAAAAAAAGAGTGGGGGGAGGATGAGGAGGAAGAGTGGAGCGTCCCCTTTTTGGGTGACATTTTAGCTGTAATGGTTCTATTCTGGCTGCAATTTTTTTTTTTTTTTTTTTTCTCTTTCTTTGAAAGGGATTGACAACAGTGGAAAAACCCTGAGCAAAGCAGAACTGAGGCAGCTCTACCTGCAGGAGAAATATTCATGGAAGTGGAAGCAATTCCTGAGCAGGAAGGGGAAGAGGCCGACTCCTCTGGATCTTAAACTTGGACATAACAACTGGCTGAGACAGGTGAGCACCGTGCGTTCCGCGAGTATCTGTCGCCATTGCCGCTATCTGCGTGTGATGGCATTTGGGTTCTGCGCAGATCTCTGCAGCCATGTGTACAGATTCAGGTGGTTGTTCTGTCTATGCAGGTGCTGTTCACCCCGGCTACCCAAGCAGCACGACAGGCCGCCTGCACCATTGTCGAGGCCTTGGCTACCTTCCCGAGCCGCCGTCAGCAAGTTCTGGATCTTCTTACCAGGTCAGTGTGGCCCTGATTTGTGAGCAATAGCATTCAGAACAACTGTACATAGTTTATAGGATGAAATAAAAAGATGTCGATTCCAGAATCTAGCAAGTCTGGCTGTGTTGGTCCAAATTGCAGTAGACGCCCTCTTCTCCCCCGTCCTCCCCGCCCTCTTCTCCCCCGTCCTCCCCGCCCTCTTTAACCCCCGTCCTCCCCGCCCTCTTTAACCCCCGCCCTCTTTAAAACCCCCCGCCCTCTTTAACCCCCGCCCTCTTTAACCCCCGCCCTCTTTAACCCCCACCCTCCCCGCCCTCTTTAACCCCCGCCCTCCCCCGCCCTCTTTAACCCCCGCCCTCCCCGCCCTCTTCGAACCCCCGCCCTCCCCCCGCCCTCTTTAACCCCCGCCCTCTTTAACCCCCGCCCCTTCGAACCCCCAGCCCTCTTCGAACCCCCCCCCGCCCTCTTAGAACCCCCCCCGCCCTCTTCGAACCCCCGCCCACCCCGCCCCAAGCCCTCGCGAACCCCCGTCCTCCCGCCCTCTTCGAACCCCCGTCAGCACGGGTCCCAGTACGCCGCACGGGTCACCCAGTAGTCCTCTCATTCGATAGATTATTCATAGGTTCGCCCGATGGGTAAAGACAACAGGTCAAAGCAACAAGGCATCACTCACACGGGTCACAGTACGCTCGCACGGGTCACAGTACGCTCGCACGGGTCACAGTACGCTCGCACGGGTCACAGTACGCTCGCACGGGTCACAGTACGCTCGCACGGGTCACAGTACGCTCGCACGGGGCACAGTACGCTCGCACGGGTCACAGTACGCTCGCACGGGTCACAGTACGCTCGCACGGGTCACAGTACGCTCGCACGGGTCACAATACAATCGGTTGCAATGAGAATAAGCAGCAAATTCAGGATAATGACTTGTACCTCATTAGTTGGGCACCACACCTTCTTGTACACCTCGGCTACAGGGAGATCCAGACTGATAATCTTGTTATTCACCAGCAACTGCAATTAACAGAAGCAAAATTCCTTCTGAACTCACAAAGGCCATCAGATTATTTTTCTAGAAAGGTTCCGCAACCAGTAGATTGTGATCTACCGGGAAATCTTGGTCAGGTGACTGGTAAATGGCGGTCTGGGCTTGCTGACACACCATCCCAGAGCATCAAAGAGAGTGAATGCGTAGGAACTACTTATGAAGCTGTAGTAGGGAGCGAGAGCCGCGTAGGTTGATGTCTCCTCTGTAGTGCCGGCTCCTATGCCCTGTCATGTTTGGTGGGTTTAGCACCAGGCAAGCATGACCCATTCAAGTGAATGAGGCCGGGCTGCGTTTTCGGAAGTGCAGGGACTTCTTCCCTGTGTGTCATGGGGCACGGGAGTCCATTCGGAACTAATGGCACCCGCCCATGGGTCCGCATTCCTCTGTGCGGGTGGTGCGGCTGCATGGATTTTCGTGCAGATCCGTAGCGGCACCACCCGCACATATGTGAACCTAACCTTGAAGCTGGAGAAGCGAGGGCCCCTTTTTTTAGGCGTCTGGGCTGCCTGCTGTGACTGGGTAAATTCCTCTTTTCTAGTTCAGTTTGCCGAGCAAATAAACAGGTTGCTGTGGTGTCATTCATTTTTACTCCCTAGTAGCTCCTGATATTTGTAATTTCGGTCCATTGTAAGTATAGACGAGCTTAGGTGTGTTTTTTTTTTTCTTTTGTGTAGCTATTTGGATGAGCTGAGTGTGGCTGGTGAATGTGCAGCTGAGTATCTGGCCTTGTATCAGAAGCTCATCAAGCCGGCTCATTGGAAGGTGTACCTCGCTGCACGGGGCGTCCTGCCTTACGTCGGAAATCTCATCACCAAGGTAATGGCAGCTCAGCAGTGGGACGCTCTGTTTTACCTGCAAAGGGTTCTTTGGTTCATCCAGTCCTGAGAGTTACACAGGCCTGTCTAGTTCTGTCACACTTCAGTAATACAGGTCTTGTGCTGCCTCCAGCCTGTGATTGGGCAGTGAAAGGAGCAGCAGCAGACTGATGAGCTCATCTTTGTGGCAGTCTTTCTCCTCCAATCATTGGGTCCTTTGTTAGCACATGAGCATTCTGTAGCACACCTGATCAGCTGCTTGTGCTGCTCCTCTTCTCTCTATGAGCTCTGCTGTACAGGGACTGCAAGAGGCTAATACAAGTCACATTTGGGTACTCTCACTGCTTGATTTTTTTTTTTAAATGTGTTAACCACTTCCTGTCTGGCCCATGTAGATAAACGCCCGAAGCGGGTTGACGTTTCTAAACATCACCCTCTTTCACTGCCTGGTAGTGCCTGTGCGGGACCTCTGTGTGAGGTCCCCGATTCACGTGATCACTGATTGGCCAATCAGTGATCTCATGAACAGTAGTAAACAAGATGTCACTTCCTGACATCATGCTTACTACTTGTGAAATCTGTGAATGATCACCGAGGTCACATGGTATACAGGGCCATTCACAACAGCCTTGTATCATGTGACGAGCTGTGACCAATCACAGCTCACACAGTATTTCTCATTGGCTGCAGGAATGCAGCCAGAGAGAAGGAAAAATTATTGCTTTTACAGCCTTGATGGGTGTTAAAGCAATTGGTGTAAAAAAATAAATAAAATCTTCATCACCCCCCACAAGTACAGTGTCACCATGTTGACAGTTTGTTAAAAAAAAAAAGAAAAAAAATTTAGAAAAATTATATTTTTTGGTTTATAAACTCATTTTGGTTTAGGTTTTTTTTTTTTTTTTTTTTTTTTTTACTAAAAAGATAGCTGAATACATTTTGGCCAGGATTTATGAAGAAAGTTCATTTGCAAAATTTTATAAGAAAAAACTTTGTTTCAAAATTTTTGGACTTTCATTTATATAGCAAAAAAAGAAAATCCCAGCGGTGAATAAATACCACCAAAATAAAGTTTTTATCTGTCTCAAAAAAAATGCTAAAAAATTCATACGGGTACAATGTTGCACAACCGTGCAATTGTCATTCAAAGTGTGACAGCGCTGAAAGCTGAAAATTGGCCTGGACAGGAGGGGGGGGGGGGAAAGTGTCCGGACAGGAAAGGGGGGGGAAAGTGTCCGGCTGGAAGTGTGGAAAGTCCCGGACTGGAAGGGGGGGGGAAAGTGTCCGGACTGGAAGGGGGGGAAAGTGTCCGGACTGGAAGGGGGGTGAAAGTGTCCGGACTGGAAGGGGGGGGAAAGTGTCCGGACTGGAAGGGGGGGGAAAGTGTCCGACTGGAAGGGGGGGAAAGTGTCCGGACTGGAAGGGGGGGGAAAAGTGGGTCCGGACTGGAAAGGGGGGGGGGGGGGGTGGGGGGGGAAAGTGTCCGGACTGGAAGGGGGGGGGAAAAGTGTCCTGGACTGGGAAGGGGGGGGGGGGGAGGGGGGGGAAAGTGTCGGACTGGAAGGGGGGGGGGAGGAAAGTGTCCGGACTGGAAGGGGGGGAAAGTGTCCGGACTGGAAAGTGAAGGGGGGGGGGGGGGGGGAAAGTGTCCGGACTGGAAGGGGGGGGGGGGGGGGGGAAGGAAAAAGTGACCGGACTGGAAGGGGGGGGAAAGTGTCCGGACTAGGACTGGAAGGGGGGGGGGGGGGGAGAAAAAGGGGGGGGGAAAGTGTCTAGGTGTCTCGTATCTTCCTGGTGTTCATTTTAAATATATTGTATGTATACTTTGGCAGACATGGCGGATGGGACAAGTGTATATTGCTTGGTCCTGTAAATAAATCAATGCCCCCCCCCCCCCCCAAGTACAGATCCGGATTTCAGGTATGGATCCGTATTACCAGTGTTCTCTGCTTACAGGAAATCGCTCGATTGTTGGCGCTGGAGGAGGCAACGCTCAGTACAGACCTGCAGCAGGGCTACGCCTTGAAAAGCCTCACAGGTAGGACAGCACAGGCTTCCTCTAGAGTGCCGCTTTAATATCTACTGATCTCCCATCTTCTCCTTCGTAACACTTCACCGCTGACCTTTTACATTTCAAGGGCCTCCTTCACCCCTATACCTTTTACTTGAGGTGTCCCATTGGGAGCCCCATGAAGGATGCCCCCTTGCGCAGTCACTTTCTGTTCCCTTCACAAATCCTCTCTTCCGTTTTCAGGCCTTTTATCCTCGTTTGTGGAAGTTGAGTCCATTAAGCGTCATTTCAAGAGTCGCCTGGTGGGAACGGTGCTGAACGGCTACCTGTGTCTGAGGAAACTGGTGGTGCAGAGGACCAAACTGATCGATGAGACGCAGGACATGCTGCTGGAGATGCTGGAAGACATGACAACAGGTGACCACTAATCGTGTCCTGTTTCTCTGCACCGTGGCAGCCTTTGTAGGTGATTGCTGTGCGGTTGATCATCTGGTGTTTGACGGAGGTTTTGTCCCTCATGTTCTCTGCAGGCACCGAGTCGGAAACCAAGGCTTTCATGGCTGTTTGTATTGAGACTGCCAAGCGATACAGCCTGGACGATTACAGGACTCCCGTTTTTATATTTGAAAGACTGTGCAGCATCATATACCCGGTGAGTGTCGGGGGGGGGGGGGGAGGATCCTGGTGCTGTACATCACTGTATGGCAATGGGCTGGGGCATCAACCTCACTAGGAAGGAGCCATTGGGGCTCCATCATACTGCAATGGTTAACCACTCGCCACAGTACATTTACTGCGTGCGGGGGGAGGGGGGGGGGGGGGGGGGGCAGTAGCTCCAGGCTAAGCAACATGCAGGTACGCACGCAAGTTACTTCCTGGTTTTCGGACGCACTGCACGCAGCCCCCGCTGTTCTGTGATTGACCACAGCACGAGTCTGTCAGCAGGTTACAGCCAATGATTTGGGCTTTATACCTGCTGATTGGTTGTGGCCAATCACAGCACAGACCTCTGTTTGTAACAGAACGTACATGCTCTGTCTGGTGTCTTCCTACCGGAGTTATTTTTCATTCAGGGAGAGAAACCAGCCAGATTCTGTGTGAATACAAGGCGCACATACACACACGCGCTTGATTGATAGGAACATTTAATCCCTTGAGTGTCCAGCACAGTTAACCCTTTGATTGCCCTATTTGTGCAGTGACAGTGTATCATCACTGATCATGATTGCCCGCCACACTATTAGTCACACTATAAGAGGCTGTTCATCCATTACTAATGTCAGGTGATTTTTTTTTTTTTTATTCTTTTAACCCAAAGACCTAGCAGAATACATTTTGACTTAATGTTATGAAGAAATTTTGATTTTACTGGCTGTTTTATAACAGGGTGTATTAGGGTGTTTTTTCAAAATTTGGTCTTTTTTTTTAAATGATTTAATAAATAATAAAAAAAGACCAATTAAATACCACCAAAAAAAGCATCATTTGTGTGAAAGAATGGATATATATCTCTTTTGGTTACAGTGTTGCATGATCGTGCAACTGCCAGTTAAAACAGCACAGTGCTGAATGCCCTGATCATGAAGCAGGTAAAACCTTCTAGCGATCAAGTGGTTAATGTTACCATGTGTTGTGTTCCAATTGCAGGAGGAGAATGAAGTGACAGAGTTCTTTGTGACTCTGGAGAAAGATCCCCAGCAGGAAGACTTCCTACAGGGCCGAATGCCGGGGAATCCCTACAGCAGCAATGAGCCGGGCATTGGACCTCTAATGAGGGACATCAAGAATAAGATCTGCCAAGACTGTGACCTCGTGGCCCTATTGGAAGATGACAGCGGGATGGAGGTGAGTGCCGTGTCCTAGTGGAGGCTCCCCTTCCCCGTGTAGCGGGAGGCTCGCCTTCCCCATGTAGCGGGAGGCTCCCCTTCCCCATGTAGCGGGAGGCTCTCCTTCCCCATGTAGCGGGAGGCTCCCCTTCCCCATGTAGCGGGAGGCTCCCCTTCCCCGTGTAGCGGGAGGCTCCCCCTTCCCCATGTAGCGGGAGGCTCCCCTTCCCCATGTAGCGGGAGGCTCCCCTTCCCCATGTAGCGGGAGGCTCTCCTTCCCCGTGTAGCGGGAGGCTCCCCTTCCCCGTGTAGCGGGAGGCTCCCCTTCCCCGTGTAGCGGGAGGCTCCCCTTCCCCGTGTAGCGGGAGGCTCCCCTTCCCCGTGTAGCGGGAGGCTCCCCTTCCCCGTGTAGCGGGAGGCTCCCCTTCCCCGTGTAGCGGGAGGCTCCCCTTCCCCGTGTAGCGGGAGGCTCTCCTTCCCCGTGTAGCGGGAGGCTCCCCTTCCCCGTGTAGCGGGAGGCTCCCCTTCCCCGTGTAGCGGGAGGCTCCCCTTCCCCGTGTAGCGGGAGGCTCCCCTTCCCCGTGTAGCGGGAGGCTCCCCTTCCCCGTGTAGCGGGAGGCTCCCCTTCCCCGTGTAGCGGGAGGCTCGCCTTCCCCGTGTAGCGGGAGGCTCCCCTTCCCCGTGTAGCGGGAGGCTCGCCTTCCCCGTGTAGCGGGAGGCTCGCCTTCCCCGTGTAGCGGGAGGCTCGCCTTCCCCGTGTAGCGGGAGGCTCCCCTTCCCCGTGTAGCGGGAGGCTCCCTTCCCCGTTTGTAGCGGGAGGCTCCCCTTCCCCGTGTAGCGGGAGGCTCCCCTTCCCCGTGTAGCGGGAGGCTCGCCTTCCCCGTGTAGCGGGAGGCTCGCCTTCCCCGTGTAGCGGGAGGCTCGCCTTCCCCGTGTAGCGGGAGGCTCGCCTTCCCCGTGTAGCGGGAGGCTCGCCTTCCCCGTGTAGCGGGAGGCTCGCCTTCCCCGTTGTAGCGGGAGGCTCCCCTTCCCCGTGTAGCGGGAGGCTCCCCTTCCCCGTGTAGCGGGAGGCTCCCCTTCCCCGTGTAGCGGGAGGCTCCCCTTCCCCGTGTAGCGGGAGGCTCCCCTTCCCCGTGTAGCGGGAGGCTCCCCTTCCCCATGTAGCGAACGTTTGTGCTGTATTAGCATGTCACTGAGTATGAGGTGCTATAAATTGGTCATGGTAAGTGGTATTGGAATTATTTTTACAAATATCTCCCAGAAATGTCTTCTAAAATAGACCTCGTGCTGTATAATGGAGGTGAGCTGCATTTTGCTTGTCTATTGCAGTTGCTGGTGAATAACAAGATTATCAGTTTGGATCTCCCTGTAGCCGAGGTGTACAAGAAGGTGTGGTGCCCAACTAATGAGGTACAAGTCATTATCCTGAATTTGCTGCTTATTCTCATTGCAACCGATAGTATTGTGACCTGTGTGAGCGTATTGTGACCCGTGTGAGCGTATTGTGACCCGTGTGAGCGTATTGTGACCCGTGTGAGCGTATTGTGACCCGTGTGAGCGTATTGTGACCCGTGTGAGCGTGTTGTGACCCGTGTGAGCGTGTTGTGACCCGTGTGAGCGTGTTGTGACCCGTGTGAGCGTGTTGTGACCCGTGTGAGCGTGTTGTGACCCGTGTGAGCGGTGTTGTGACCCGGTGTGTGTGTGTTGTGACCCGTGTGTGCGTGTGTGACCCGTGTGTGAGCGTGTTGTGACCCGTGTGAGCGTGTTGTGTGACCCGTGTGAGCGTGTTGTGACCCGTTGAGCGTGTTGTGACCCGTGTGAGCGTGTTGTGACCCGTGTGATTTGTATTGTGACCCGTGTGATTTGTATTGTGACCCGCGTGAGCGTATTGTGACCCGTGTGATTTTGTATTGTGACCCGTGTGATTTGTATTGTGACCCGTGTGAGTGACGTCTTGGTGCTTTGACCTGTCACCTTTATCCATCAGGGGGAACCTATGAGAATAATCTATCGAATGAGAGGACTGCTGGGTGATGCCACGGAGGAGTTCATTGAGTCTCTTGACTCCACTACAGGTAAAATGATATAAAGGGGTCGCAGTGTATAGCATGTTGACACCGGAAATGTTTTCTGCCCCATTTTTCCTCCGGGTGTTAGGGGTTAGACCTGCTGCTTCCCTGATTCTTCCAGGTGTTAGGGGCTAGACCTGCTGCTTCCCTGATTCTTCCACCTGTTAGGGGTTAGACCTGCTGCTTCCCTGATTCTTCCAGGTGTTAGGGGTTAGACCTGCTGCTTCCCTGATTCTTCCAGGTGTTAGGGGTTAGACCTGCTGCTTCCCTGATTCTTCCAGGTGTTAGGGGTTAGACCTGCTGCTTCCCTGATTCTTCCAGGTGTTAGGGGTTAGACCTGCTGCTTCCCTGATTCTTCCGGGTGTTAGGGGCTAGACCTGCTGCTTCCCTGATTCTTCCAGGTGTTAGGGGCTAGACCTGCTGCGTCCCTGATTCTTCCAGGTGTTAGGGGCTAGACCTGCTGCTTCCCTGATTCTTCCAGGTGTTAGGGGTTAGACCTGCTGCTTCCCTCATTCTTCCAGGTGTTAGGAGTTAGACCTGCTGCTTCCCTGATTCTTCCAGGTGTTAGGAGTTAGACCTGCTGCTTCCCTGAATCTTCCACGTGTTAGGGGTTAGACCTGCTGCTTCCCTGATTCTTCCAGGTGTTAGGGGCTAGACCTGCTGCTTCCCTGATTCTTCCACGTGTTAGGGGCTAGACCTGCTGCTTCCCCGATTCTTCCAGGTGTTAGGGGCTAGACCTGCTGCTTCCCTGATTCTTCCAGTTTTAGGGGCTAGACCTGCTGCTTCCCTGATTCTTCCACGTTTTAGGGGTTAGACCTGCTGCTTCCCTCATTCTTCCACGTGTTAGGAGTTAGACCTGCTGCTTCCCTGATTCTTCCACGTGTTAGGGGTTAGACCTGCTGCTTCCCTGATTCTTCCAGGTGTTAGGGGCTAGACCTGCTGCTTCCCTGATTCTTCCACGTGTTAGGGGCTAGACCTGCTGCTTCCCTGATTCTTCCAGGTGTTAGGGGCTAGACCTGCTGCTTCCCTGATTCTTCCAGGTGTTAGGGGCTAGACCTGCTGCTTCCCTGATTCTTCCAGGTGTTAGGGGCTAGACCTGCTGCTTCCCTGATTCTTCCAGGTGTTAGGGGCTAGACCTGCTGCTTCCCTGATTCTTCCAGGTGTTAGGGGCTAGACCTGCTGCTTCCCTGATTCTTCCACGTGGTAGGGGCTAGACCTGCTGCTTCCCTGATTCTTCCAGGTGGTAGGGGCTAGATCTGCTGCTCTCCTGATTTCTCCCCAGGGTTAGGTATGAGATCTTCAGAGGGTAGCCATTCCTTGCCGCTGCCTTACTCTATTTCCATCCTTGACCACAGCTGACACCCTACAACTTTAGGCTAGCAGCCATTTGCTGGTAATTGGATGGAGTCAAATACTCGCAAAAGGTTAGTATATGGAGGGGGTCTTAGTGGCACTTTTCAGTCACTTGCAGGAGGAAGGAGAAAACCTTCCATTGTTGGTCTAGGCCTGCTTTAATAGTTCTGTTTTGTCTGGGGGCAGTGAAACCGTATGTGATTTATGAAACCTTTCAATTGTCCTGTCAGCAGATGAGGAGGAGGATGAAGAGGAAGTGTACAAAATGGCTGGAGTGATGGCACAGTGTGGAGGACTGGAGTGCATGCTAAATCGCCTAGCTGGCATCAAGGACTTTAAACAGGGCCGTCACCTTCTGACCGTGAGTCTGATTATATATAGAGGGCCAACAGGGCCGTCACCTTCTGGTCCGTCAGTCTGATTATATATAGAGGGCCAACAGGGCCGTCACCTTCTGGTCCGTCAGTCTGATTATATATAGAGGGCCAACAGGGCCGTCACCTTCTGACCGTGAGTCTGATTATATATAGAGGGCCAACAGGGCCGTCACCTTCTGACCATGAGTCTGATTATATATAGAGGGCCAACAGGGCCGTCACCTTCTGACCGTGAGTCTGATTATATATAGAGGGCCAACAGGGCCGTCACCTTCTGACCGTGAGTCTGATTATATATATAGAGGGCCAACAGGGCCGTCACCTTCGGACCGTGAGTCCCTGACCGTGAGTCTGATTATATATATAGAGGGCCAACAGGGCTGTCACCTTCTGACCGGGAGTCTGATTATATATAGAGGGCCAACAGGGCTGTCACCTTCTGGAGCGTCAGTCTGATTATATATAGAGGGCAAACAGGGCCGTCACCTTCTGGACCGTCGGTCTGATTATATATAGAGGGCCAACAGGGCCGTCACCTTCTGGACCGTCAGTCTGATTATATATAGAGGGCCAACAGGGCCGTCACCTTCTGGACCGTCAGTCTGATTATATATAGAGGGCCAACAGGGCCGTCACCTTCTGACCGTCAGTCTGATTATAGAGGGCTGCATGTTGGTAGCTTTGAAGGCCTCAGACAGGTTCTCTTTCCATACATCCCCTCCTTCCATACATCCCCTCCTTGTGGTTGGTCCCTGACCTCTGTTGTGTGTTTTCCAGGTTCTTCTCAAACTCTTCAGTTATTGTGTGAAGGTCAAAGTGAACCGGCAGCAACTGGTGAAGCTGGAGATGAACACTTTGAACGTCATGTTAGGCACGCTCAATCTGGTAAGGGTCTGCCAGCCTGGTGATCGGTAATCTTCTCCGTAATTGGTGGCGGCTGTGGCTGAGCTTTCTCTCTTTTCCCCAGGCCCTGGTGGCGGAGCAGGAGAGTAAGGACAGTGGAGGAGCTGCCGTGGCTGAACAGGTCTTGAGTATAATGGAGATTATCCTGGATGAGTCCAATGCTGAACCACTAAGTGAAGACAAGGTGAGACCACAGTCCTGGGATTCTAACATTTCAGTATTCCATCACCTGCCTTCTAGTTCCGAAGACAAAGATACTTCGACATCCTCTAAAACCCATGAAGATATTTCTCCATTTAGGTTACTTAACTACTTGCTGCCCACTAACAGAAAATATACTGCAAGTGGGCGGTACAGCCAGGCACCGCGACGTACCTAGATGTCGTCCTGTCCACAGGGTACAGCCAATGATTATGGGCCATTGCGGCCAATCACAGCACAATTACAGTTGACAAACACACAGAGATCGGTCTGGCTGTTTCTTCTCCCTGAAATCTGCTCTGAGTTCAGGGAGAAAAAGCAGCCAGATCTGTTTGTAAAGAAACAGCACACGTTACGCATTGGTTGGCACACAGTTAACCCCTTGATTGTCCCCTGATAACCCCTTCACAGCCAGTGTCATCAGTACAGTGTGCAATATTATCTCTGATCACTGTATTTGTGTCACTAGCAATGTTAGTTTACCTCCTAGTCAGTGTCTGATGACACCAGATTGCCTGCCACACTATCGCAGTCACACTATAAATCGTGTGTGTGTATACCTATTTATTAAAGGATAAGTTCAGCTTTTTTAAAAAAAACAAAAAAAACCATAAATGTATTTATTATTTCAGGTTTATAGCGCCATCAATTTCCGCAGAACTTTACATATATATTGTTCATTCACATCAGTCCCCGCCCCCGAGGAGCGTACAATCGAAGGTCCTTATCCTACATTCATACATACACATACTAGGGCCAATTTAGGCAGGAGCCAATTCATCTACCAGCATGTCTTTGAAGTGTGGGAGGAAACCGGAGTACCCGAGGAAACTTGCGCAGGGAGTGCATGCAAACTGCAGGCAGGTGGCACCGTGGTTGGGATTCAAACCAACATGGAGTGTGGGAGAGGAAAGGAAACGCACGCAGGCGCAGGGAGTACATGCAAACTCCAGGCAGGTGGCGCCGTGGTAGGGATTCGAACCAACGACCTGTGTACTGCCAGGCGGAAGTGCTGACCATTCAGCCACTGTGTTGCAGTTTTAGTGTGTTTTTATACTTTCGATGGCGATACGCAGCCAGTTTCAATGCTTTTGTCTCATTCAGGGTAATCTGCTGCTCACTGGAGACAAGGATCAGCTGGTGATGCTTTTAGATCAGATTAACAGCACGTTCGTCCGCTCCAACCCCAGTGTGCTGCAGGGTCTCCTGCGGATCATCCCCTACCTGTCCTTTGGTGAGATGGAGAAGATGCAGATCCTAGTGGACCGATTCAAGCCGTACTGCACCTTTGAGAAGTAGGTGGCGCCACTCCTGGACAAAATGACACTAAGGTTCACATCTGTGTGGGTGGTGCCACTGCGGATCTGCACGAAAATCCGTGCAGCCGCATCGCCCGCACAGAGGAATGCAGACCTGTAGGCGGGTGCCAATAGTTCTAATGGCACGCCGCCCGCACTGGAAAACACAACCCTACTGGGAAGCTCGGCTGTGTTTTCCAAAGAAGTGCCGGGACTTCTCTGCGTATCCCGGGGCACCGGAGTCCATTTAAATGAATGGGCTCTCATGCCCGTGCAAAACGCGACCCGCACGGCCACATAGATGTGAACCGGGGGTTAAGAAATGGAGTCTCCAGTCATGTGACTTGGCTACATTGCATGACATTGTATGGTAAGGTGTCACTCCTGTCCTCTGTCCTAGGTATGATGATGAACACTGCGCCGATGACAAAGTCTTCCTGGACTGTTTCTGTAAAATCGCAGCCGGCATCAAGAACAACAGCAATGGGCATCAGCTGAAGGACCTCATCCTGCAGAAGGGCATCACGCAGAACGCCCTGGACTACATGAAGAAGCACATCCCCAGCGCCAAGAAGTGAGTCAGCGCCTCCTTCCTGCGGGGCGTTTATGGAAAGAGGCCAAGAAATTCGAAATAATGCGAGAGCTTCATTGGAGCTCCTGACAGTGTTTTGTTTTTTATTAATTTACAATCATTTTGTCTTTAACTCCTTCCCACCAAAGGGAGCTGGCCCAATCAGAAAGCTGGCTTTCTGATCATGTGATTGGCTGTCAGTGTGATCATCATCACCCAAAGTAGTCTATATATGATCACATTCCCCCGCAGAGCAGAAAACGGACCGAGTTGGAGCGCCAGGTCCTGGAGCCTGTTTGGGCTGTATTGTACATTGCTGTAAGTCTTGGCACGTTGTCATCATCAGGACAGGAAGTGAGGGCAGATCTTCCCAGCGGGGGGATGGGGGACACATGGCCATAAAACCTGAGGTTTGGAGTTGTGATTTTAAAACCTTTTTGTGACCAGGGGTCATTTGAAGCGGAGTTCCTCTCACTCTGTAAAGAAATAAAAGTCAGCAGCTACGAAAACTGTAGCTGCTGACTTTTAAAAAATAACAGCCACTTACCTGTCCCACGATCCCGCCTTGCCCCCGCCACAGCCCATTTCACCAGCCGTCCTGTATTCAAGGCGCCGGCATCTTCAGTGTGGGCACCCGGCTGTGACAGCTTGCGGCTCCACAGCCAGGTGCCCACTGTGCATGTGCGAGTAGAGCTGCGCTTCATGAATGGCCCTGTAGACTTCTGGGACCTGTCAAGTGTCCCACAAGACTTCGGGGAGGGAGGACAACTTCCGGTTTTCCGAACGCCTAGGCGATTGCAGCGGAAGTGGGAGCGGGGTACCTGTTTTATTTGGGCACCCCCAAAGGTGCCAGTCTTGAATGGGGAGCGGGGGACCAATCTTTAACCATTAGCCGCCCGGCCAATGGCCGTTTGGCGGCTTCAAAAGTGTTCCTGCACTCCATGTGCACGTCATTTGGCGTGCCCCCGCACATGCGCAGTTTGCGCTAATGCAGAGCGGCGCAGGAGCGCGATCTGTCACCGGCCGTGCACCTTGGACACGGCCGATGACAGATCTGAGTACCGACTCCCGTTGCTGGTACCATGTGACCTGCTGTGACCAATCACAGCAGGTCACATGACAGTTGTATACAATGGATGGCTTCATTCATGATGCCATCCATTGTATACTAGTGCCTAGCTGTAAATGGTCACAGCAGGTCACATGCACATGTCATGTGATTAGCTGTGACCAAATCACAGCTAAGCACAAAAAAAAAAAAAAAAAAAGCTGAATGAATCGATTTCATTCTGTTAAATGCTTGCTTATAGCAAAGTAATTCTTTGCTATAAGCAAATTGTGTAAAAAAAAAAAAAATACTGATCACTTCCCCAAAGTAGTACAATGTTACTATGGTAACATTGTACTACTTTGGTCATAGTAAAATATGAAAAAAAAATCTTAAAAAAATTTAATAAAAAATTAAATATAATAAAAAAATTAAAAAAAAAATTAAAATATATATATTTTCATACTGTCACCAGTCAGTGTCCCTGTTCACCGCCATGCCAGTTATATGATGACGCTGTACTGCACTGGTGACAGTATGTAAAAAAAAAAAATAGTGAAAATAATTTTTTTAATTTTTTAATTTTCCAAAAAATTATGACAAAAATACAACTTCAAAATACTCGCCATGCCTCTTATGAAGTACGTCGGACTGTCTACTCTGCAAAAAGGGGTCATTTGGAGATATCTGTACTGTTCTGACATTTGGGGGATATCTGTACTGTCCTGACATTTGGGGGATATCTGTACTATTCTGACATTTGGGGGATATCTGTACTATTCTGACATTTGGGGGATATCTGTACTGTTCTGACATTTGGGGGATATCTGTACTATTCTGACATTTGGGGGATATCTGTACTGTTCTGACATTTGAGGGATATCTGTACTGTCCTGACATTTGGGGGATATCTGTACTGTCCTGACATTTGGGGGATATCTGTACTGTCCTGACATTTGGGGGATATCTGTCCTGTCCTGACATTTGGGGGGATATCTGTCCTGTCCTGACATTTGGGGGGATATCTGTACTGTCCTGACATTTGGGGGATATCTGTCCTGTCCTGACATTTGGGGGGATATCTGTACTGTTCTGACATTTGGGGGGGATATCTGTACTGTCCTGACATTCTTGGACCTCAAGAAAATGAGATTGGCTGTCAGTACTTCAGGATTGATCAATATTCAGATCTATACCATAGTTTGTGAACTCTATAACTTTCCTACAAACTAAATAATACATCCTAATTTGGGTTATTTTCACCAAAGACATGTAGCAGAATACATCTCGGCCTAAATTTATGAAGAACAATTATTTATTTGTAAACTTTTATAACAGAAACAAAGAAAAATGTGGGTGTTTTTTTTCAAAATTTTTGGTCTTTTTTTGTTAATTTAGCAAAAAATAAAAACCCCGGCGGTGATTAAATACCACCAAAAGAAAGCTCTAGTTGTGTGAAGAAAATGATAAAATTTTAGTTTGGGTACAATGTTGTATGACCGCGCAATTGTCATTCAAAGTGTGAGAGCGCTGAAACCTGAAAAATGGCCTGGGGGGCAGGAAGGTGTAAAATTGCCCGGTATTGAAAACGGTTAAAGTGGAACTTCACCTTTTGGGTGGAACTCCGCTTTAAGCCTAGGTGCCCAGGCCAATTTTAGCAGCTTCAATGTGCATCGGTTAACTTGAATACGATTTTAATTTGCTTACTTTAAAATCTTATGTCCTTAATAAATATGTAAAATTTTAAATAAAAATTTAGCAAAATTTGTTGCACTGTTTTTAAATATATATAATTCATTTTTTTTTTTCTTACTACTGTAATTGTACCTGACAGTTGCGGTATTAAACTGAGAGCCTATTTTGTGAATACCTGGATTGGTGATCACATGATTAGAAACCATGCTGATTGGTTCCCGGTCATTAACGGAGCCAGATCTAACTGCAAGCCATCACATACATCATGTTTGGCTGCTAGCTGTCAGTGAGGACATAGATTTAACAGACCGCCAGCACCAGCGCACCCTGCAGGAGAATGTGAATCTACTGCTTGCGGCCCGAAAAGGGGTTCTGCTTGGAGAAAATAAGTTGGCGTGGTGCTTCCTGTAATGTGTGCAGCCTGTTCGTGTGCAGCGTGTTCGTGTGCAGCGTGTTCGTGTGCAGCGTGTTCGTGTGCAGCGTGTGCGTTTTTCATGTGCAGCGTGTTCGTGTGCATGCCGTTATTCATGTGTGGATTTTCCTTGCAGTCTGGATGCCCGATATTTGGAAGAAATTCCTGTCTCGCCCGGCTCTTCCCTTTATTCTGCGTCTGCTCCGAGGATTGGCCACCCAGCACCCCCCCACACAGGTATGAACGTGTAACTGTGGTCTCGTCCACCCGTGTGCTCTCACCACCAGCAAATATGTCAGCAGGTGGCATAACCAGACTCCAGCTGTAACTGAATTGTCTGTCGTCTTGGTTCACAGGCCCTCATTGGCACGGATTCCATCACCAACCTCCACAAGCTGGAGCAAGTGTCCAGCGACGAAGGGATTGGGACCTGGCTGAGAACCTGCTGGAGGCGCTCCGAGAACACCCGGACGTCAATAAGAAGATTGACGCTGCGCGGAAAGAGACCCGTGCCGAGAAGAAACGCATGGCCATGGCGATGAGGCAGAAAGCATTGGGGACTCTTGGAATGACGGTGGGTGACGAAGGCACCAATTCAACAAAATCTCTTCTTTTAATTAGAATGAACAACTTAAAGCGGAGCTCCACCCAAATGGGGAAGTTCCGCTTTAAATACTGCTCCCCATTAAGGATTGGCTTCTTTTGGGGGGGTAAGGGGGGAGCGGGTACCCGAATTTGACAGGTACCCGCTCCCACTTCCTGGTCCACTCGCCTAGGCGATCGGAAGCGGAAGGTGTCCTCCCTCTCTCCCTCCCTGTAGTCTTTTGGGACACGTGACGGGTCCCAGAAGACTACAGGACCGTTCATGAAGCGCAGCGCTACTCACGCATGCGCAGTGGGCACCCAGCTGTGAAGCTGCACAGCCGGCTGCCCACGCTGAAGATGCCGGCCTCCTGGAATACAGGACGGCTGGTGAAACGGGCTGCGGGGGGGACACGCCGAGGGACAGGTAAGTGGCTGTTTTTTAAAAGTCCGCAGCTACAGTTTAAATGGAGCAAATATCAAGTGTTTTTTTTTTTTTTGTTTTTTTTCTGGGTTAGGCATTTTTTGTGTCTCTAGTGATATTGTGTGTATCTTCGTATCTTCCAGACTAATGAGAAGGGTCAGGTGGTCACAAAGACGGCTCTGCTGAAGCAGATGGAGGAGCTGATCGAGGAACCTGGACTGACCTGCTGTATCTGCAGAGAGGGCTACAAGTTCCAGGTACAGGGCTGTTCTGTTCCTGGTCATGATGCTGCCGGGGTCCTCTTGTCCTCTTCTGGGCTTTCTGGTTCTCAGAGATGCCAACATGATGACAACGGCTCCATTCACTGCACAGTGAAAGCCGGGCGCCCCCGATGATGCCCCCCTCAGGGTGTGAGTTCATGGCACTCTGCACTCCTAGTATGATCTTAGTCTTCCAAATTGAGGGGGGGGGGGGAAAAAAAAAAGTCTAAAGTTGGGGTGTAATTATTTTATTGGAGTCTTGCGTTACTTTACGTGACAGAACACGCGTGTCATAACTAGCATCTGAGCTTTCCTCGTGGTTCAGACTTCTTCACCATTTGATGAGCGAACACAAGTTTTGAGTTTCTGCTGTGAGACAGTTTGGAAGTATCAGGAGAGAGTCGGGTCCAGAAGGTTTTTTCATTGTGAGAATCTTCAGCTTTTTTTTTTTTTTTCTTTTTTCCAGCCCACCAAAGTGCTCGGCATCTACACGTTCACAAAGCGCGTCTCCCTGGAGGAGGCGGAGAACAAACCGCGCAAGCAGCAGGGCTACAGCACGGTCTCTCACTTCAACATTGTGCACTATGACTGCCATCTTGCCGCTGTCAGGTAATCCTATTAACCCCTTCATGTCAGTGAGGAAAGGGTCACTACAGCCATCTGTACATGGTTCAAAATTTGTCCGGTTCAGCAGGGACTTGTCCGGTTCAGCAGGGACTTGTCCGGTTCAGCAGGGACTTGTCCGGTTCAGCAGGGACTTGTCCGGTTCAGCAGGGACTTGTCCGGTTCAGCAGCGACTTGTCCGGTTCAGCAGCGACTTGTCCGGTTCAGCAGCGACTTGTCCGGTTCAGCAGCGACTTGTCCGGTTCAGCAGCGACTTGTCCGGTTCAGCAGCGACTTGTCCGGTTCAGCAGCGACTTGTCCGGTTCAGCAGCGACTTGTCCGGTTCAGCAGCGACTTGTCCGGTTCAGCAGCGACTTGTCCGGTTCAGCAGCGACTTGTCCGGTTCAGCAGCGACTTGTCCGGTTCAGCAGCGACTTGTCCGGTTTCAGCAGCGACTTGTCCGGTTCAGCAGCGACTTGTCCGGTTCAGCAGCGACTTGTCCGGTTCAGCAGCGACTTGTCCGGTTCAGCAGCGACTTGTCCGGTTCAGCAGCGACTTGTCCGGTTCAGCAGCGACTTGTATAGAAGTCGATTGACTTTTGTAAAATTGCCCAGTTGGTTTCCCTCACGACTCAGTCAGTGCCCTGTGTCAGAATACAATGGACTTGGAAGAAGATTCCCCCATCACATCATGTGTATGGATGGAGGAATCAAATCAAGTTTTTGTTTGTTTGTTTTTTGTTTGTTTTTGTGTTTTTTTTTTTTTTTTTTTTTTGTTTTTTTTTTTTTTTTTTTTTTGTTTTTTTTTCCTTCAGCCCGCTGGTAGAAAAAAAAATTCTGGGCTGCTTGTTTTATTCCTGGGGATGAGAAGACATAAGTATATGTAAAGCTGGTCATACATGGATTGAAATTCGTCTGGTTCAGCAGAAACCGGCCGAATTTTTCTGTGTAACTGATGCCAGTCATTAGACCGCCTTCTGACCAATGGCCCTGCTATAAAACACAGGCATTCAATCAGCCGCTGCAGTCAATCAGTTGCAGCTCTGATCAGTGTGTTGTGACGGTGGGAGAGTCCCACTCTCAGAATACAAGGACATAATTGTGAGGATTTCCCCATTCACATCGAATTTGTGGATGGGCAAATCGTTTTTTTTTTGGAGGTTTTTTGTTTGTTTTGTCTCTTAACTAAAAAGACGCCAGCCTAAGCCTGTATGAGGTTCCCTTTTTTGGTCTTTTTAGAAGATCCCGTGACCAGACCGTTCACCTCAACAAAAATATACTCCTGAGATTATTAGTACGTTTTAACATTTTTAATGTTTATTTTCCGGCAGCTATAAAAAAATTTAAGGAGAGGTAGAGGAGCTGGGCCAGAACAGACAGTTAAACATGTTCTATGATCTCTAAGGAGGGGGAGGGGCTATGCTAGGGAATTGACGAAGATTAGGACTGTGTTGATAAAGCACATCATTCGTCCGCAGCTGATTGGATCAGCCTCAAACCCAGCTAGTGATGGATTCTGTGCTTTATTACCACCCAGTCCTAGTACTATCATCTACACGGATACGGGGACTGTTGTCTCTGCGCACTGTGACTGTTGTCTCTGCGGACTGTGACTGTGTTGTCTCTGCGGACTGTGACTGTTGTCTCTGAAGAGGACTGTGACTGTTGTCTCTGCGGACTGCGACTGTTGTCTCTGCGGACTGCGACTGTTGTCTCTGCGGACTGCGACTGTTGTCTCTGCGACTGTTGTCTCTGCGGACTGCGACTGTTGTCTCTGACGACTGTTTGTCTCTGCGGACTGCGACTGTTGTCTCTGCGGACTGCGGGACTGTTGTCTCTGCTCTGCGACTGTTGTCTCTGCGGACTGCGACTGTTTTGTCTCTGCGGACTGCGACTGTGTTGTCTCTGCGGACTGCGACTGTGTGTTGTCTCTGCGGACTGCGACTGTGTTGTCTCTGCGGACTGCGACTGTGTTGTCTCTGCGGACTGCGACTGTGTTGTCTCTGCGGACTGCGACTGTGTTGTCTCTGCGGACTGCGACTGTGTTGTCTCTGCGGACTGCGACTGTGTTGTCTCTGCGGACTGCGACTGTGTTGTCTCTGCGGACTGCGACTGTGTTGTCTCTGCGGACTGCGACTGTGTTGTCTCTGCGGACTGCGACTGTGTTGTCTCTGCGGACTGCGACTGTGTTGTCTCTGCGGACTGCGACTGTGTTGTCTCTGCGGACTGTGACTGTGTTGTCTCTGCGGACTGTGCGACTGTGTTGTCTCTGCGACTGCGACTGTGTTGTCTCTGCGGACTGCGACTGTGTTGTCTCTGCGGACTGCGACTGTGTTGTCTCTGCGGACTGCGACTGTGTTGTCTCTGCGGACTGCGACTGTGTTGTCTCTGCGGACTGTGACTGTTGTCTCTGCGGACTGCGACTGTGTTGTCTCTGCGGGACTGCGACTGTGTTGTCTCTGCGGACTGCGACTGTGTTGCTGCGGACTGCGACTGTGTTGTCTCTGCGGACTGCGACTGTGTTGTCTCTGCGGACTGCGACTGTGTTGTCTCTGCGGACTGCGACTGTGTTGTCTCTGCGGACTGCGACTGTGTTGTCTCTGCGGACTGTGACTGTGTTGTCTCTGCGGACTGCGACTGTGTTGTCTCTGCGGACTGCGACTGTGTTGTCTCTGCGGACTGCGACTGTGTTGTCTCTGCGGACTGCGACTGTGTTGTCTCTGCGGACTGCGACTGTTGTTGTCTCTGCGGACTGCGACTGTGTTGTCTCTGCGGACTGCGACTGTGTTGTCTCTGCGGACTGCGACTGTGCGACTGTGTTGTCTCTGCGGACTGCGACTGTGTTGTCTCTGCGGACTGCGACTGTGTTGTCTCTGCGGACTGCGACTGTGTTGTCTCTGCGGACTGCGACTGTGTTGTCTCTGCGGACTGCGACTGTGTTGTCTCTGCGGACTGCGACTGTGTTGTCTCTGCGGACTGTGTTGTCTCCTGCAGACTGCGACTGTGTTGTCTCTGCAGACTGCGACTGTGTTGTCTCTGCAGACTGCGACTGTGTTGTCTCTGCAGACTGCGACTGTGTTGTCTCTGCAGACTGCGACTGTGTTGTCTCTGCAGACTGCGACTGTGTTGTCTCTGCAGACTGCGACTGTTGTTGTCTCTGCAGACTGCGACTGTGTTGTCTCTGCAGACTGCGACTGTGTTGTCTCTGCAGACTGACTGTGTGTCTCTGCAGACTGCGTTGTGTTGTCTCTGCAGACTGCGACTGTGTTGTCTCTGCAGACTGCGACTGTGTTGTCTCTGCAGACTGCGACTGTGTTGTCTCTGCAGACTGCGACTGTGTTGTCCTCTGCAGACCTGTGACTGTGTTGTCGTCGTCTCCGCAGACCGTGACTGTGTTGTCGTCGTCTCCGCAGACCGTGACTGTGTTGTCGTCGTCTCCGCAGACTGTGACTGTGTTGTCGTCTCCGCAGGCTGTGACTGTGTTGTCGTCGTCTCCGCAGACTGTGACTGTGGTGGGGGGTGAATTGGTCAGGTGGGGGGATTACAGTTTTCATAGTTTTGTCTTCTTCACACTCTGTTTGCACACAGGTTAGCTCGCGGACGGGAAGAATGGGAGAGTGCGGCTCTACAAAACGCCAACACGAAGTGTAACGGCCTGCTTCCTGTGTGGGGGCCGCATGTTCCAGAGTCTGCGTTTGCCACCTGCTTGGCCAGGTAGGTTGCGTACGTTTCCGCCATGTCGTCATGTACTGGTCCTAGCAATGGACGTTTGTGTGCTTAAGTGTGTTCATCTCTTCTGTAGGCACAACACCTACCTGCAGGAGTGTACTGGCCAGCGGGAAAACCTACCTACCAACTCAACATCCACGACCTCAAGCTGCTTTTCCTCCGTTTCGCTATGGAACAGTCATTCAGTGCAGACACTGGAGGAGGCGGGCGGGAGAGCAACATACACCTCATCCCATACATCATCCACACCGTGCTCTATGTCCTCAACACGTATGTATCCCGCAGTCTACCATCTGTTACATTCTAACAGCAGAGAAGTTAGTGGTTCTAACCCCCGGTTCACATCTGTGCGGGTGGTGCCAATCTGCGTATCCGCATGAAAATCCGTGCAGCCGCACCACCTGCACAGAGAAATGCGGACCCACCGGTGGGTGCCATTAATTCTGCTGGCAAGCCGCCCGCACTGGAAACCACAACCATACTGGGAACCTCGGCTGCATTTTCAAAAGAAGTGCCGGGACGTCTTCCCTGTGTGTGTCATGGGGCCCGGGAGTCTATTCAAATGTATGGGCTCTCGTGCCCATGCAAAACGCTGCCCGCACGACCGCATATATGTGAACCGGGAGTAAAAGGTTGAAAGTTTTATCTTCACGCATTCTAGGCATGACGGTAAAAAACCTTCAGTGTGCAGCTCCTCCTGAAGCCCCCCAATACTTACCTGGGCCCAGGGGTGATCCAGCGATGTACGTGACAACAGCTGCCTCATT